CAGCACTGGCTGAATACATTTACAAGAGCCAATAAATGGGTCTGATGGGGGGAGGAGAAAGAACATCCTCGGAATGAGACTTCGAAGATAAACTCCTATATTTCATAATGAGTGATCAGGAGGGGTTCCAAGCTGGAGAACAGCAGGGTGCAAACCAAATATGAACCTGTGAGCCCACCCCACAGCTGCCCCCACCCTTCTGAACAGGGCCAGATCACATAGCAGGGATGTGCAGTGAAGATGCCCTCCTCGTTCCATCCGTCCTGGATGAATGGGAGCAGGCAGTTCTGGGGCTCTTCATCTCCTCCGCTTTCTCCTGGAGATGTTAATAAAATGCATTTCCTACAGCCATTGTTTCATTTATAGAACCTTCAGCCTGGTTTTGATTGAGTGCACTTAATATAGTTGCTCTTGTTGTATAAAGGATTTTGAGCCCGGTATTTGACAGCCTTGATCTCAAAGAAAGCCATTAAGAGTAGTTTTATCTCCGGGTTTTGTAGCCATTAAATCAGTTTTTTATCAAGTCGCTGGTATGCTTTCAGGAAGATGTGTGGGAGAAATGGGGAATAAACCTTCCAAATTCAAATGTTGGGACTGCTTTGCCATACTTGAGCTAAATGTTAATAACCAGAAAGGGATTTTTCTCCACAGTAGAACATTATACTCCTCACTTCAGAGCACTATAGGGCACGAACTTCCAGGGGACGAGAGCGCATGGTAATCAACCTAATCAATATTCCACACTTATTCCTTCTGGAGGGTTGGAAACATGAATCACTCCCGCACCGCAGGCACTGCGTGGTCCTGGGCACTGCAGCCTGGGGAATGTCTGTGGGTCTGAATGTGGGTCTGTGTCCTGGTGGGAGCTGGGACCACCTGGGACCACCGAGCCCAGGGACCACTGCTCAGCCCTGCCTCCCGCCGCCTCGCTTCCCTCCAGGTTCACAAATCATCCCCGCAGCCCTTTCAGATTAAACCATTTTTCTTTTAAGGAGATTAGCTGTGGCTTTCCATGCAGGGAAATGAATTGGGCCACAATTAATGTCACTTCCCCGTTTGCCTGCTCCCTTCCTGCGCGCCGTGAATTAGAGCTGAAAGCAATGCTGACCATGTCCATAATGCTCTGTCACTTCAGAAATAATTTGGTTGTCTTAAAGCTAATATATAATTACCACCAGCAAATATTTCTTCTCCGTGCAGCCCGATGGTTCCCTGGAGTAAACTTCCACAGTTTTTCAGCAACTGTTCCTCTAATCAGGGGCGATGTATTTGAAATTTCCAAATCAAAGCCTGCAGATGCTAACGGGCAACTTTGGTTGGGCACTGCTTGGTCCTGGATGGGAACAACAGGATGGAAAGGTCACAGTCCCGCAGGAAAACCTTGAGATAATCTTTATGAGCAGTGGCCAAAGGCTTCCATGCACCTCGCTCACGTCCTGTGCTCAGAAGAGGTGGGAAGATGAGCCCTGCTCTGGCCCAGCACTGTTGCCCACGGGCTCCCTGAGCCCCCCAGTGCTGGGTGATGCAGGGCTGGCACTGCCCAGCGCCATCGATCCACCGTGTGCCTGCAAAGACAAACCCAAATAGATTCGTCTCAGGTGAACCAAAGCATTTTGCTCAGATTTTGACCTTTTAAAGAAAATGAATAATGCATTTGAAAATAAAAACTCATTTCAGACTCGAAAATCACAACACTTCCAGCTGGAAATGCCAGGGCGACGCATTATAACACCTAATTTCTCTGATTCCTGACGTGGAAAATCTGTTCAGAGCAGCACCTTTCTGCAGGAGGGGTGAGCAAAGCCCTGAAGGGTCACCTGGGCCCCACATTGCTGCCATCTCATAGCTACCCCCTACCTGTCATTGATTGATTGCTGATGAAATGATGCATTGGGGTGTAATTGCCCACAGAGCTCCGTGCATTGACCAGGACTGGGGCTGCTCAGAACCAGCACTGAGGGAGGGCTCCATCGGTGGCACTGGAGCTCGTTGGTTGAGGGGCTCTACAGTGTGTTTCCTGCCATTGAAGGCTGCTAGCAGGGGAGGCGAGGATGATGATGAGGTGCAGAAAGGCCCCTCCATGTCTGCCCCCTCGGCCCCAGCCACCCTCGCAGCTCCCAATGCCCTGCACAGCAAAAGCTCGTTAGCAGCTTGGAGAACGTTTGCTTGATGTTGTGGTGCCATTTTCAAACAAGTCTCTCATCTTTCAATTTGGCAGGCAATCTGAATACCCATTTTAACTAATAAAGACACCCGGTAACATCTTATTACAACGCTGGCAGGCTCCCAGCTAACGCTATGGTGATCTTTTGTTCAAATCGGGTTTTCTCGATTTCATTCTCATAAAGGGAAAAAAAGATGCGGTCCCCATCGTGCCTTCCCTTCCCACGTAGCTCCCCCCATCCACACCGCTGCCCCCAGCGCCCATCGCTCCCCTCCCCGGTCTCTCTATAGGAACACCCGCCCAGGAGCTCCATGCCCTCCTGCGGTCCCTTTTTCATGCAGATGCCGCCGGTTTTGCTCCCCAGGAAGGAGCCGAAAGCTTTGTCATGGAAACTTTCTGCTTGGGTTTGTGTTTCAAAGCTATGCTCACTTTTTCCCCCCCTTTCTCGTTTTCTCTTTTAAGACAAAGCGTGAGACTTCCACTACTGCAGTCCAGAAATTACCCTTCTCCCCTCCGCTGTGAGCATTTAGCGGCTCTCAGCCTGCGGCGCGACCCAGCGGGGGACGGGATGAGGGCCATCAGGTGCCTTTATGGGCAAAGAGCCTTCTTGGAACTCGGTGTGATGTCTGGTACCGGGGGAGTTCATATTATGGGATGGCTGCCTGGCACGGCCCGCCCTGAGCGTGTGCTTCTCGGTTAGGAGGGATCTTTCCAAAGACAAAGCAATGAGCAGAGCTGGAGCCCTGTGACAGTGAGGAGCCTGTGGGAGGTGGATCCCAGGACCCCCAGGTCTCTGAGCACTTCCTTCTCTCGTAGCATCCATTACAAAGGCTCAATTCAATCCCAACCTATTGCTTAGAGCTGAGCTTCCACCCAGACCACGCTTGCAGGGGTGGTTGCAGTGCAAGCACAGAGAAGGCTGGAGATGCTTTCCTTCTTGCTCCAAAGCAGGCGAAATTAGGAGCAATTTTGATAACACCCTCACACCAGGCTGGAGGAAAATCGGTGCCAGGAGTTTCTTAGTGAAACACCATCGGTTTGGGATGGGAGTTTGGGACCGGGTGAGGTGGGCAGCCTCCCCAGTGAGCAGCATTCTGGGTCAGCTTGATTGAAGAAGCCAGCTGCATTCAGCTGCCTTAGCACAGATAGGCTGTTTTTATCTTCTAACCTGATGGGAGGTAATTACACCACTCCTGGCTCCTTATCTTAAAAGCCAGAGCTCTTCTGTGCTCTCCTGCCAGCACCTGGAACGTTCCCTGCTCACACCTGGGGCTGAGGAGCTCCATCTCTCCTATTTCAGAAGCCCATTTTAGATGCACTCAGTGCTGGTGCACCGAGCACAGGTGCTCTCCCAGAGCAGATAACTGCTGACCTCTGGAGCTGGGAAGGGTTGGACCCACAGAGCTCAGCCCTGCACCCGCACTCGGGAGGGAAATCCCTCTATCCTTGAGCCAGGCAATGCAAGGTCGCTCCCTCACTGCACGTTCACACAGTGATTAATTACAGCACAGCAGCACCAGGCAGTGTTTTTATTTCTAACGCCACATGGGCGGTGTGGGGTAGGGGAAAAACCAGTGCTGCAAACCCACATCCGTGAGTGCTGAACGGGAGGGAGCAGAGCAGGGTGCAGGCAGGGGTTGTGCCTGGTCGTGCACCAGAGGAACGTTTTGGGCTTCCAAAGAATCACCAACACATTATTTGTTCTGGTTGATAGGTAAAGTGCAAGTGATGCTCTGCAGCTAAGTCCTGCCTGGGTAAGCAAATGAATTTTGATGCATTTTCCTCTCAAAGGCTCAGGATGGGGGAATTGGGATGTGGTGTAGGATTCCCCCTTTACTCCACTTCTTTATTGGGCTTTGGTTATTTCTATTCACATTTATGCACTTTCTTTCCAAACAGATGTGGGCATAAATATGAAAGCAAATAATTAACTGATTAACCCGCACTTAGAAGGGTTGCTCCTGATGAAACAACTGGAGGAAGGGTTTGCTCAGCGCCTTCTCTCTGCATTGGATGCTTCAGAGCAACTCCTGCAAACACAGCCGGGACAAAACTGCAGAGGAAGGGCAGAGCAGAATCTGTACGAGGAGGGCAGCTCCAAAGGCTGAATTAAGCACCTGGCAGAGCTTCAGAGAGCTCCTTCTCTCACCTCCAGTCAATCCCGCAACCTTCGTGCGACCCCTATAAAATTACCTCCGTTAAAGAGAGCTCTGAGTGCTCCATTTGCATTCCTCAAGAAACATCGGGAGAAGAATAAGTTGCACGTTAACGACGCGGTGTTGTCATTAAGGGGGACAACTTCATTAGCAAGTGCGAACAAAAGCACATAACCGCTCCAGCCATCGCCATCCCAGTGCTACGCAGAGCCACAGGAGCAGCACTGCCTCTCCAGTGCCCTTAAACCTGCTCCTAACTGGCCCGAGAGCTTCCTTTAAGTTCAGAGAAAGTACAGTTTAATTAAAGCTAATGTAGTGAGAACAAACTAATAGGCAGCAGAAGGGTACGTTAAAGCCCTGCCACGATTTATGGTGCTTTGCATACTGTAAGGGATGCATTCTAAGGGGAAAAGGGAGCACGGCTGTCACCCACATTCCCCCTCTGGAATGGGAGACCTGTGGACCTTCCCCATCTGCAGCAGCCGAGGATAAAGCACCAAGTCATTGATAATCCTTAAGAAACGTTATTATATGAAAACGTAATGAAAAATTTTCACCTAATCGACTTTAATAACCCAACAGAGGGACCTCTCTGCATTGGAGACAGCACAATAATTTTCTAAAATATGGGCTGTCGTTTCCCATCAGTCCTAAGGAGGCAGAGTAACAAGGAGGCAGAGTAACTCAGCACCCGACTTCACTGGGGCTACCAATTCATCACCATAACATCACCATAACGCCCTGCAAAGCAGTGCCACAGCTGCCACGTGCACACCCACCCCAACGGCTGGGAGATGGCAGGAATGGGGACAGCCTTCATCCAGCAGAGATCCAGCTCTCCTTTGCTCCATGCTTTTGTTCTCATCTCCTTTTTTCCTCTCTCTGCATAATGAATCTTCCCCTCCGTAGAACTCACGGTGGATTTCCAATAGTTACGTCAAGGCCAAGCAAGTCAGCACTGTAAGAAGGGGCAGATAAATTAAAATCCTGCCAGGCTCACCAGCAGCGCAGCCGCTTCCCTCTAATCCATTAGTGAAAATGAAGCCATCAGAAAATTAGGTGCTGCTTGATGTTTTCTGGGTACTAATGATCGTGACTTAACAGAAATAAATGCAGTGTAAAGTAGTGAGGGAGAACGGGAGCCTTTTAGCAAACAAGATTAAAACAGATTGTGAGTGGGCCATTGCTCTTCAGGCACAGATGTGATAGGGGCAGGACCTGCCATAAGTGCTGGGACCCACCTCTGGGAATGGGCTGACACCACACTGGGGGGGGACCACAAGTGCTCCCCCCCACGTGGGTTTGGTGCTGCAGGGAGGGACTGGGAGAGCTCTGCCCACAGAAGGGAACTACCACCATGCTGTCAGAGCAGGGCACAAATTTTATTGATCTTGAAAGAGTAAAAAAGCATTACCAACTCCAAACGATTCGCTTGTGCAACATTTGATGGTGGGTATAGAATACTATAGAAATATTTTGTAAACTTTAAGTTAAAAAAAAAAAAAGCACAAAGATTTAAAGCCCTTACGATATAAACATTAAAAACATTCAACAAAAATTAAGACCTTCTGCAGCTGTGGCACACAGTGGCAAACATTCCTCCTTCCTGTTCTGAACACAGGGCAGCCCAGTCCTTGTGCCAGCAGCAGGGCTCCCATAGGGCCAGAGGGCTCCCATAGGGCCAGAGGGACCCCACAGCTCAATGGGGTGAGGTGAGAAGCGGACACGGTCCCCTCAACCTGCAGGGCTGGGCTCATTGGGGAGCTCAGTGCATTGCCCAAACGAGGACCAAGAACCATGCCACGGCCTCAGTAGTAGATGACCTTCACACAGAAGGTCTCCTCGTTCTTGTCCTGATGGTCGTTGATGTGGATCAGGATCTCCTCCTCACCCACGCTCTGACTCGGGGCGAAGCGCAGCCCGATGGTGTAAACCTCCCCACCAGCAACCTGCACACAGCACAGAGGCTCATGGGGAGGCTGGAGGGGCATCACAGCGCCTGCTGCAGCTCCTATGGGAGGTAGGGGTGTACCTGGAAGGAGTCCTCCTTGAACTGCAGCAGGTCGGGCCGGCTGGTGACCAGAAAGTACAGCCTGCGTGTGGGGTAGGGGTTGGTGTAGGTGATGCGCTTGTTGGAGCCCTTCCCACTGCCTGCGGGGATGGTGATCTCAAAGGCCTGCAGGGCACAGAACAGCACTGAGGTCAGACAGAGCCTGGGCTGCTCTGCTGTGCACCCAAGGGGCAGCACAGCACACCTTGCTGCCCCGCGTCCCCCACTCCCCTCCTGCTCCATGCACCACTCAGTTCCTGCCATCAGCGACACGTGGAACGACCTCTGAGTAAAGGCATCTCCTCGGGCTGCAGTTTGCATCACTACATCCACAGAAGTAATTATGAGACTGAGTGACAAAGGGCCAGGGGAGCAGCTGGGGACCGGCCAACGAACGCTCCAACTAATTAATTTATTTCCACGGGGATAACCATGGTGCTAATTCAGATAACACAGCAGAGCACAGGGAGTGGGGCTCACACTCATCAGGAGTGGAGTGACATCAGTTTAAATGCTGCTCTCCACCTCACCCAGCACCGAGTGTTCCAGGAAAACATTTCTAAAATGAACACATTAACTGGGAGATCTAATTTTCTATCTTTGAGCGAAGTCCTAACCTAGCACAGTGCTAATAGAAAGCAGCATGCTGTAACTTTAATTTCACAACTGGGTATACTTCAGAGTTGACACTCCTCAGCATGGAATTGCCTTCAAAACAGGCTGAAAGATATTTTATGATGGTCTTCAGTGAGATTATTCAGGCACAGGAAGGCTAAACGTGTGCTCCAGAGCTTAAGTGAGATGGGGAAATGGGAATAGTAACAGGCAGCACGGGTAGAGTCTACACACATCCTGCAGTTCTGGCAGGTAAAGACAAGTGATCCAGAGTTACTCTGCAATACTGCTTTAGGAGATTAACTCAAAGAGGACAGTTAATCTCTAATCTGTCAGTAATTCTTAGAAATTGGCTTTAGGATCCTTGCTCATGACAGTTGGGAATAATGGCAGTGTCTGCACGAAGACCAAGCGCCCGCCCGGCGATCGATGCGCAGCGGCACGGCTCCCAGCACACATCCCTCCTTGTGCAGAGGAGGAGAATGGATGCCAAGAGCAGGTGTAGATAAAGCAGCAAGCAGCAGCCAGCCCCAGGCTGCTGGCACAGCACAGCCCCCAGCCCAGTGGGGTCACCATGCTGACACCCCCCCCACTTCTCCCCATTGAGTACCTTGGAAATGAGTGGCTGTCGGCAGGTGACGCAGAGCAGCCAGGAGGACAGCAGCTGGTGGCACTCCACGTCCACCAGGTTGAGGTAGAAGAATCTGCTGCCGGCCCGGCGCGGCCTCACACCCACAAACAGATCCAGGACCCCATTGGGGGGCAGGATGAACACACCTGCTGGGTCCACCTGCAAACACACGGCAGAGGAAGGAGCACAGGTCCCATCAGAACCTCCTCCCTCAGTTCCTGATGCTCTGAAGTCACAAAAAGCCAAAACAGGGTGAGGAGACAGCATCAGCATCGCTCACAGCTGCCGCCAGCATCCTGGGCAACCCCCCCTGAGAGGGAGCAGAGGAATAAATGAAGACAAACTGTGTGCAGATCGTTTTTGGAAGGCAGGCTGGCACCCCTTGGCAGGAACAGCTGGGAGAGAATCTGCACCTCCGTGAGGTCCAGCTCAGAATACAAATGAGCTCTGATTACATTAAGGAATGTACACCTATGATAGGAACATTTAATCCCATCTACACTGTTGAAGCAGGTCTGGCTGCATGACAGCATCTGTGCCAACAGCAGCCTGCACTTTGCCCAGCAAGAGGACCCTAACAGTGCTCTACCAACAGCTGCAGGGATCTGCTCACACCCACACTGCTCGCTCTGAGCGCTGCAGCAGAACCCAAACACTGCCATCAGCACAGCCAAGGCACAGTGCTGGCATGGCACGGGGTGCAGGCAGTCCCCAGACTTGGATTCGATGGCACACACCACTGTGATGCCATCCTCAGTGGGATTCATTCCTTTCTGCAGCCTCTGAGAGCTGAGATTTTTTTTCCTTTGTTTATGGGACAGTAATGGAGTTTTTGTTCCTTTCATTACTCCCATTTACAATTATGACTAAATGAATTCTAAAGAAATTATTAGTCTTCAGATAGTCTCATTAACGCAGATGATTTGCCCTCCGGGGTTTTGTACCGACGATCCTACACACGACAGCTTTAATCAAGAGGTAATTATCACAAAGGCAGTACATTTTTCCTAACTCCAAACGGGACGCATTGCATTTCTAAGGGTTACAGTGCTGCCAGCCCAGCCCAGCACCCACAGGGACCCAGCAGCCCCGGCAGGGAAGCCCGAGGCATTACCTTCAGCTCGTGGGGATGGGAGCAGAACGCCTTCACCCTGCGCAGGGTGCGGGTGCCGCGCAGCGGGACGGCCAGGCGGGAGAGCTGCCCTGCAGTGCAGCTGACATCCAAACGCTGCAGGGAGTGCAGGTAGAACTGCCAGATGTGCAGCGGCGTGGCCAGCCAGGGATCCCTGCAGCAAGACAAAGCGATGGGACAGCCCCTACTTGGTGCATTCAGCCCCGAGACCACTCCAAGCTTTGGGCAAGGAATTTCAGCCTTACTCACGCAGAGAGAATGAATTGGTACAGAGAAGCTGTCTCCTACACTCAGAGCATTATTTAGAGAGATTGGAAAAGCAAACAGGTATTTTGGGAAGCCTCCTGCCTGGCTCAGCAAGCAGGGCTCGGGGACCAGCAAGCAAGAGAACACTGATGGGAACGTTCCCTCCCGCCCTGCCTGCGCTCTGGGTGGTTCCTTCTCTTTTTTGGCTCCTGTTACTTACGTATAAATAGCAACAAAGAATGTTTTGATCTGCGGGCTTGGTCCTCCAGCTACTTTTAAGAAGACGTCCTGTGGTTCCCCAGGACCCTGCGCACAGAAATCAGAGCATCGTTAGAATGGTTAACCCAGAGATCAAACCAGCTAATGAGGACTCCAGGGTTTCCTTTCTATTAATGAAAAAAACACCAACCCACTTACAACAGCAGATGCTTTCAGGATCTAGTTAAAAACCACATTATTAAGTTATTATACAGCGTGGTAGAGCTCTTCCAGTATTTTTAATTACAAAAGAGGACACAAACGACTTTTGCATTCCAGGTTTGCATCCATAATCAAATTTTGGCAAATTTTCCCTAAGTTTTCTAACAAGCCATAATCCAATTACCATTGGATTATGCACTGGCAATTAGTAACTACCCTTCATTACCGTCTGTGTTCATACACACACTTATTTTTTTTCCACTTCTATCTCAAGCAGCAGAAAGAGAGCCTTGCAGACCTCACATCTTTGCTGGGAAGTACAAAACAGAAGTGGTGTCTGGGGAGACACACAAAGCACCTTCCAGGTGAACTTTGAGGGCTCGATCCAAAGAGGAACAAAGTAAAGACAACACCAGTATTGATTTGCACCAGGTCAGGAGGGAAACAGGGCTGGAACCAAGCTTGAACTATTTGCTCTCCAGAAAAACAGGGACAACATCAGGCATCGGATACCAAAACAATGCAGCCCATTTTAATTGGAACCAAGGGCAATTCTGCCTTAATCACCACCAGTATTTCACATTCCTATAGGCCGACAGATCAGGATGCTGCCATGGGTGCAAGGCTGATGAAAGCAACAAACCACAGCAGGAGGATACGAGACAAAGCGACACAGGAGTGTAACTGTACCATGTTTTTGGTCTCACAGATGACATTAGGGTCGCTGCAGCGGACATAGACCTCCGGATCACCACCCGGCATCCTCACCGGAGCACCTGCAGGAGACACCACCACATGTAACACGACAGAGCGTTTTATTTACGCTTTGTTCTACACCACCACGCAGCTGTGAGCTGCAATCCCTTATGTTGAGCTACCCGAGAACAACTGGGTCATACTGGTTCAAGAGAGTATAAAATTAGTGCAAGCAGATGGATAGAAAGCAAGCAAGGAAGCCCAAGGCCAGAGCAAAATCATGAGCAGTCTTTGAGGACGCAGAGAAACCATCCCTGATGGTGGGAACTCGCCCTCTGGATGCCACCCCCACCTCCTAGCAGAGCCCTGGGGGTCACCTGGGATCGTGTGCCATGGGGGCAGGCGGAAGGCCTTCTTCAGGAAGGTCAGCTCGGGGTGGAAGAAGCGGAAGGTCTGATCCACCACGTGGGGCCGGGGCTCAACCTTCACCTGCAGCAGCGCAATGGGTTTGCCCCCACTCACACGGAAAGCCACCTGCACAGGGGGGGCAGAGCAGAGAGGCTGAGTGTCAGGCATGGGAACAGCACGGCGGGGGCAGCACTCCATCCCTGGGGCTGGGAGGCAGCTCCACGATGCAGCAGCCAACAGCCCCACGTGTCTCTGCATCCCCACCTGGATGAGCCTCATCTGCGCAGCCCTTGGCTCCTCCTGCATCCTCCCTGCATCTTCTTTGCTCAGCCCCACGGGTCCCTGCAGGAAACAAAACAGTTTTGGAAGAAGCCCCGTGACACGTAAGCAGTGTTTCCTTGGCAGTGCCACCACGTGCTCTGCACCCAAGCACGATGCAGCTCCCAGCCTACCAGCACCGCCGTGGCAGCCGGCTCTGCAGAGAACATCTGGTACCGGAAGGGTATGTGCACAGTTTCCTTGGGCCGCAGGTAGATCTGAGGCCTGAGGTCATCCTGCAGGTGGAACATGTCCTCCTCCAGCGGGGTGGCTGTCTGGGTCAACTCCTTGAAGTGCCGCCACTCCCTTGGGTCCAGTATGACACTGGAGGAGCAAGAGGTGGAGCTGGGTGGCAGCAGGTGCCAGCGCATCGCTCCGGATGTCTGCTGGGAGAGGTCCAGCACCAAAGCAGGCAGGAGATGCTGAACAGACCCCAGCAATGGGGACAGAGCCCAGCACAAGCACTGTGAGCACACACACACACACACACGGATGGTTGTTGGCCGCTACCTGAGCTCGGGGTGGTCAACCTCAACCGTCACCGTGTGCTGGACACTGTAGGGGTTCTTCAGGGCGAACTCAAAGAACTCAGCTGTTCCCAGCATGGCATACACAGTGTGTGTGATGGTGATGGCCTGGCTGAGCATCTGGGAGATGTACCGGTGCTTGGTGCGCTCTCGGTAGGCATCGATGATCTGCAGGTACTGCATGCACTGCTCACAGCAGCCCTGCAGGATGAAGGGGACCTTGAGCCCGGAGGCAGCGCAGGTTGTGCCAGGCACCCAGCCTGCCCTCACCGTGCGCTGTGGGATCCTCCAGTCAGCATCCTCCTGCTGCTGCAATGCTGCCAAGCGCTGCAGCTTGTGCTGCTGGATGGCCGCGGCCTCGTGTGGGGCATGCAGGGGTTCTGGGCTCTGCTCCAGCCGATGGCTGCACAGAATGGCTGCCAACTCGCTATCCACCTCGGCCAGCCTGCGTGCCCGAGATACCCTGACATCTGCAGGGACAGCACTCAGGTCACCGGCTCTGCTCAGGGCAGGATGGCACCCCCTGTTTGAGGATGGCAGGGAAGGGCTGAGCATCCCCAGAAGGACTCACCCCCACTGGTGTGCAGGGACAGCAAACAGCCACCACCCGGAGAGGACACAACGTGGGTGTGGGACAGCAGTGGGTGCCTGGGGCTCACAGGAGTCTCCTCACAGCGGTGACCTGCCAGGACAGAGACCAGGGTCAGCCCCATATCAGGTGCTGGGATGCTGTGCTGGGCTGTGCACATCAGCAGCTTGTGGCAACAGCAGGCACAGCCAGCCAGGACACGGAGCAGACGCTGGTGATGGCTCAGGCCAACAGAAAGACAACAGCCAGCACAGAGCCACCTTCTATGAATTATCAGGAGCAGCTTCCCAACATTTTTTTCCCCAAAATTGTCACAGATCTCTTAGTGTCACAAAATCTACTGGAAAATGTTATTCCCACTGCAGATCTTCACAGACAGTTTAAAAAAGTGGAAGCAAATATCTCATTGCTTACAATGTTCCCTGTGTTTTACGACGATCCCTCTGGAATCCTATTGCTATTGCACTCCATCTGTCTTTTCTCTAAGTGACAGAGCAGTTTCCTACTGAAAAGCAATGGGGACATCCAAAAGATTTAATGCTGACCTTTGGAACCAGCTCAGGTTTCCATGCACACTTTGTGAAGTTTCAGCAGAACCACCCGAGCTGCATTTCACAAATCTGCTCCACCACCACCTCATGCCTGAGCCCAAGGCATGAAGAGCCCTCAGAAACCTACTGAAGGTATTTGGAATTTATTCAAAGAAAAGAAAACTAAAGAATTTTTTTGAAAGGACAGAGAACTCAAAGGGTAGCTGTTGTCCTGGAACAGTGTGTTTTTGCTTTCTCCCTTCTTTTGCCAGGTTGGAGTTAAACCTCTCTCTGGGTTGTGAATCTCAGATTCTCCTTCCCAGGAGCTTATCGTCCTTTTGCAGGCAAAGTAGGAAAATGACAATTTAAGATATCTTATAATGGAGCTAATCTTTCTTCTGAAGATAAGAGTTTAAAACCTGGAGTCACTGCACATTTATAGGACGGTGAATTAAATATAACAAAGTATGTGCTACACTCCAGGAAGAACAACACCCTCACGAGAGCTTTGTTTTCTGACACAGGCAGCTCTGCCATTCGTCCCATCCCTGCTACCCACCTGTGCATCACTGCCTGCATCCTGCATCCCCTCGGCCTCAATGCCACCCTGCAGGTGGCAGGGATGCTGGGCAGAGCATCAGGGCGCTCCGTGCCTCCGAGCTCAGAGCTCTGCCAGCATCTGCCCTCCCCAATTGCAGAGCAAAACCCTGTCGGATATCTCAGGAAAGCTTTTTGTTTCCTAGAACACTTTGCAGCACTACGATGGCTTCCAAGGAGTACTCACCAATGTTGGCCAAGCAGAGGTGCAGGCGGCCTCGTACGGCCACACGGGCACCCAGAGGACACAGCACATCCCTGCCTGCTGCTGGTGGTGCATCCTGCTCGTACTCAGTGGTGACCACGTCCAGCTCATGCAGCGTCCTGACAGCCGGCCGGCCCTGGCGCAGCAGGGGCTGGGGAGGAAGCAGGGATAGGGCAGGATGGATGCTGCTGTGCCTTCAGCCCCATCACACACACACCCATCTCCCACTCTCAGCAGATGCATTTCCTTGACGGGCTGCCCCAGACGGAGCTTTTTCATTGCAACCTCTCCCCGAGAGGATAACAGCCAGACATTAGGGTAACTAGTTACTGGGGCAGCTCAGATCCAAGAGATTAAGAGATATGGATAAAGATGTCTCTGCATTTCCTAGGCCTGCTTTAATTTTTCTATCCAGTAAGCCTTAGCACGGCACAGAAGTTCCAGGGAAGAAAGTTAATGCTCTGCCGTCGCTTTCAAGGATAAGATGACAAATCCTGTGATTACAGGCTTGTCAGATTGACATCAGTCTCCGTTAAACAGAGTGGCTGATAAAAACTTGATTACTGAATACTCAAGGGTAATCTAACAGCATCTCGGCACAGGACAGAAGGAAGAGTCAGCCCGTCTTTAAACTCTTGCATGCTAAACAGTTCTCCCTCATCGTTAGCAGTCATTAAGGCTCAGGGAGAAGGGCTCCCTACCTTCAGTTTAACCGCAGCAGAGCCGACCAGCAGCAGCGAGTCCCCATCCCAGATGTCCATCTGCAGGCTGTGCTCAGCCAGGTAGCGCACGAAGACACGCTGCTCCCCAGGCCTCAGGAAGGTGGGATCCACCACGTACCTCAGCTGCAGCCCTGCGGATTCTGCAAGAAGCAGAAGAGCAATAGAGGGCTGCATCCCTGCCTGCCCACAAGCATGCTGTCATAAGGAGCAGGAAAAGCCAGGACTTCAGGTGTGGAGCTGCTGCTGAACCAAAATGGTGTGACAGCACCTGGGTCCACCCCCAGCACACTCCTCTCCTGTGTAGTGCAGCTTAACCCCATCAATCACACTGGGAAGAACCCCAGCAAAGGATCCCTCGTTGCCATCAAGAACTCCAGGTGAGGAAGGAGCTTTACTGAGAGCATCTCCTGGGACAGGAATTTAATAAGACACAAAGAGAAAGACAAAGCATTTTGCTCAGAGGATCAGATGAGATTACTCCAGGCACTTTGCTTTAATGCGTTGCCTCTTTTTCAATAGGCTCAGCCCCAGCTGCAGTCAGCAGTCCTGATGTCTGGATCATGTCACTGATGCTTATTGATGTTTTACTTCATGCTTTGACGTTTTGAACATTTTTAATTATGTGCCACATAAACTAATGGAGGTTTGCTACGAAAGCAGATAGCAGTCCATTCCCTTGGCCTGGAGGCATGCCTAAATCTGATTGACAAAAATGCCAATTGAACCAGTAAATGTTGTTTAAAACTCCCAGATGGCTTTTCCTTGTACAGTAACACAATGCTATGGCCCATACACAAAAAAAAAAAGAACAAGTCAACTTGATGAACTACGTGCAGGACCACACGAAACAGCATCAAGACCTCAAACCTCAGCTGCACAACCAAGCCTCCCACCCAGCCACGTGAGGACACCACCCACACCAGCACCAGAGCCCACCAGTGTTTGGGGTCCCATCCTTATTCAGCTGGAGCAGCACTTGTGCTGGCACAGCAGACCCAACTGCCCTCTCGCCATCCGCATCGAGCAGCTGCAGCCGCGGCGTGGTGACCGGGGGGAAGCGGTAGAACTGGAAGGTGAGGAACACTGTCCTCGGCCACATCCCTTCCAGTGCATCCTGAGGAGCCCTGGAGCAAGAGAAAAGCGCTTTTGGTCAGCCTTGTTTGGATCATAAGCTCCTCACCAAACAAGAAGCAAAAGAACAAGAGAAGATCAGTAATATCAAAAGTATTTGGACTTCTCTGAAGACAGCGGGCATATGGTTTGTCTTTGCCTTCCAAAAGCCTCCCAATTCCAGCTGTCTTCTGCCATATGCTGTGATGGAAGAGCCAAGCAGAAGTAGCATTTTACCTTTGCCATCTATGGAAGAGCTGTGAGCAGTGCTTTGGAGAGAGAAAGCCACCCTCATGGATAGCTTTCCAAAAACTCAGCTCCTCTATGTAATATGCATTTAAGCAGGAACCCTGCACTAACTGGTTTTATTCCAATATGTGGCTGAGGTACACCACAAAGAAACTGGAATGTGTTGTAGGAGTGCCTCGAGAGAGCAATGATGTCATTTTGGAGCTCTTCACGGCTTTACTTCCGTGGCTGCAGTGGGAGAAGCAGCACACTGCCAAGCTTCTCCTGCTCAAGCACAAAAGCAGCTCACGGGCAATTTTGGAAAAGGCTTCTCCCCCAAAAGGCTCCCTGAAGCCCTGCAGACCTCACCTACTGAACGCAAGGAACTGCAGGATTATTTCATTGCTTTGCAGAGCATCCACTTCCTCCAGCCGAGGACTGAAGTGCGCGGGGTTCAGCGGCTCCGTGACCTCCACGGGCTCCTTGTTGCCATCGAGGATCTCTGGGAAGCCAGAGGTGTGCAGGAGCGCCAGCGAGGCACGGCTGAGTGCAGTGCTGGAAGCGGCAGAGAAGCGAGGCTGAGTGATGGTAACAGCAGCACCAACCCGTGCCAACCCCCCCAAAATCTCAGCCCCACGGCCCTCACCTCCCAGCAGGCAGCCCCACAGCCGTGACGGGCAGCTGCGTCGGCACAAAGGGCAGCGCCCACAGGTGCTCACTGCTGGAGGCATCCACGCTCGGGGAGCCCGACCTCAGGTCAGCCTCCAGGTGCGTGATGCCAGCAGTGCGCTCGGCGCGGCCGTCCCTCTGCGTGCTGCAGGCCCGGGGCACTGGGGCACTGCGGCTCCGAGGCACTGCGCGCTCATCCCTGCTCTGCGGCGAGGCCAGCAGCTGTGAGAGAGACAGCTGGAAGGGAAGAGGCTGCGATGAACACAGCAGCGATGCTCAGGGAAAGCAACACCACGCCACAACCCGCACCACGGAAAGGCTCTGCGGGCCAGGATCTGCCAGCAGTTCGTGCAGCTCAGATGCTGTTTGCTCTGAGATTTGGCACATAGCATCCCTGCTCCGCTGAGGAGCGGCACAGCTTGGCTGCCTGCGGGTTCACACCTCTGCTTCTTGCTTTAGCAGCCGTGCTGTACTTTCTCTTGCAAAGGGAGGAATAGGAAAAGGCAGTAGAAAGATCAAACAGTTTCATGCAGTCCTATGAAGCACTTCATTTCTCCAAAAATATTTGTGAGCATTGATCCCCACAACAAGATATTAGTATTTGTAGCTTGTCTCAAAACCTGGTAGCTCTCCTTGAAGCACATTGCTGTTGGCACTCACCATGGGACAGCAGTGCCCAGCAAATCTGGGTTGTCAAAACCCAGAACAGTCCTTAAAAATACATTTGGGGTGTGAAAACAGCTCGGAGGATTTTGTCCAGCAAATTATACATAGAACTCACTTTCCTCCCTCTGCTAACTCAGATTTTAGCTGCACATGCCAAGTGTTGCATGGCCACAGCAGCCTTGAAGCCAGCTTTCAATGGGACTTCAGGCACATTGCCAGCAACCAACCTGCACTGCACAATGTGGGAACATCACTGCCTGCTGCCCATGGGGCTCAGCAACACAACCACGTGGGGAAGGCACACAACCAGGGGAAGAAAACCTCCCAACCAGAAGCCCCAAGGTAGCAGTGACAGCACAGAGCACACGGTGACAGCACTCACCCCTGGTCCCTGCGTGGAGGCTGCCGGGCGCAGCGGGGAGCGCAGACCTGCAGAGAAGCACAGGAGAAGCTCAGCAAAGCCAGCACCCAGCACAGCCCCGCTGCCCAGGGATGGGCACAGCCCTGCAAGGCAATCCACAACCTCCCAGCAGCCTGCTTGGCTTATTCCCCCAGCAAGACTGCTACCTGCAGGGGAACACGTAGCACGTTTCCACACTCGGTGGTTATTTTGCTGGGAATCTGAATCTGCCAGCAAGAGTTTTCCTGATGTAAAAACACAGCTCCTCCATCTTTAGACAGTGCTGCAGTTTCCCTTAAAGCCATGTGGCACTGGCTAAGTGGATTGCTTAATGAGACGTGAAAGTTTTTAGGATACTTAAGGTTTTCATAGCTCCTCCATTATTTCTTGTCACTACTTTCATCTGTTCGTACATTCATGCCCCCAAACGCTATGAGTTTTACTGTGTTTATATTTGGCTGGTCTGCTCACTGGCACGGATGAACTCGCTGTTCCAGTAAGCAGCAAATCCTTTACAGCAGAGCAGGAACACAGATGTTTTCTGGCAACTTCAGGTTGCTTTCTCAACCACGTCTAATCACAGCTATTTTGTTCTCACTATTGTTCAGCAGAAATCACCCCACTTCCCTTATGTCTAAAATATTGTTTTCTTTCCATTACAGTGGTTTGGGCTGTCATTAAAGCAACGGTGCACAGAGGTACACGGAGCTGTTGGTGCTGCAGGAGGATTCCCAGCCCATCTGTCAGACCCCAGATCAGCTCCATGCACAGCTGAGCCCCAAGATCCATCCTCGAGGGAAGGGAGCGAGGTCAGGGTGCCCCACACCCCCAAGCCCTGTGCCTGGGAGCAGAGGGTCACCATCAGCCTGCATTCACATCCACTTCTCTTCGCACTGACACCAGCTGGAACTCATGAGATCCTTCGAGCAACACCAGGAACAAAACGCCTCTCAGCAATGCTGCTGGCAGCCTCACCCAGCACAGCCCACCGACTCCAGCACCGTCTCACCCTCAAAGATTTCCGCTGTGAAGCCCATTGAAAACCAACAAACTGAGCCCTGGAGAGCACTGAGCCCGGAGCTGGATGTGCCACGGGCTCCCATCCTGCAGCAAAGCCGCGGTGCCACTGCCACCTCGTGGTAACAACACCCCATTAATCAGGTAATCAACTCGCACGTTGATGTTTAAACTGGCAGCTAAGTTGTGAGCAACCCCGTGTGCACATCCACAAATCGGAAAACGTTAAAAACAAGGGAATGGTGGGACAGGAGCATCTCCCATGGCAGAGCCACCAAATCGCTCCAAACTGGACAAACAGGTGCACAGCCTGACTTTGATCCCAGTGCTACGCTGTAGGGTGGGAAGCACAGAGCAAAGCACACCTACAGGTTTGTTCCCCCTGATCAGGGCAGGAGGGAACCGACCAACAAAGCCACACAAAAGGGAGCAGATTGCCACTGCTCAAACCCAAGGCAAAGAAGCCCTTTCCATCTCCAAGACGCACAGATCAGTGCTGAGATCCCCGCCATCTGCCCCCAGTGCTACAGATATGGATGCAGGCACACACACACAAGCAGCCTGGTTCTCCCCCCTCGTTAGAGGCGCACGCTGATTAAACGCGCCGTGCTGTCACGCTCCAGGAACTGCGGCTCAACGAGATTATTTATTACTCACAGCCTATAAGTGACACCTCTCCCATCCTCAGCCATCTGGAAGGATTACGATTGCAGAGATAAGCACCGGAGCAGCGCATTGCTGGTGGGGCCAGGAGGCCTTTCCAAGAGCTGTTTTGTTCAGCACTGAGACCCAAATGCTGTCAGAGTGACCCAGAATAAACACAAAGGGAAACGAGTGCAATTCCTGCGCGTGGCTCTGCTCCCATAGCACGGGTGGATGTGACAAGGGAACAGGTAGAAGGGTTGAAATCAAACCAACCTGAAGTCCCCTCCGTACAGTAATTCATAAACCATCGGATGGCACTGCCACGTTCTGCATTTTAAATGCCACCAACACAGAAAGCACTCACTCAGTGATGGCGTAGGAGGCTCCTCCGGCTCCTTCCCAGCTTTACTCGAGATGTCTGTAGAAGTCACACGATGTTCTGCATCAGTGGAAACGTGGAATTGGACGGAACCCGACGCAATGCGCTTCACCTGCCATGTTCAAGTTGGAGGGCTGTTAGAGAAAAGCCACACACATCTTCAGGCAGCTGGGAACAGAGCCGCTCCCAGCACCGGGAGAGCAGCCCTTACCTGCTGGGAGCTCTCGCTGTCTGCAGGGTTTCTGTACACCAGGGTCTGGCTGGGGCTGGGATGGGCACCGCCGCGCAGGGGCAGCAGCACTGGGGAGGAGGTGGCACCCAGGAAGGGGCTCCAAAGCGCCCAGCGCACCGTGTGCATGGCAGCTGCTGGGCCCAACACACTGCCGGCTGCAGCCTGCAGGAGAGCATTCAGCCAGAGTGCCTCCCTGCCCTGCAACCACGCTCAGGGTAATTGCAACAACACCATTTGCAGCACGGCCCTTCCTCAGCCATCTCTGCCTCCAGACAACGTTTGAGCCCAACAGCAGCACCAGCAGACACGACCAGGAATCACCCCCCCCACCACCAGAACAACCAGGCAATGAAAGCTCAGCTGCACTCAGCAGCAATCTACCTGCAGCTGAGGAGTGCAGCCCTGCCCTCCCTCTGCACTCAGCTGTGTATTTTTGCATTATTTCTCTCCCCAGTGATGGGAAACCCACACAGAGCAGAGTCCAGGGGGTTCTGCTTACCCCAGTGCCTCAGCAGCCTCTCCTTAAGCCAAGGGGTGCAGACCTGAGGCGAACACAGCTCGCTGCCAGCCTTGGCAATCAGTGCCCAGCTCCTGCCGGCTGCTAATTACAGCACCGACCGGCTCAGCAATCAGCTCTGGGATTAGGCTGTGCACATGGGAGGCACTCACTGTGTTACCAATGACCCTCACACTGCCACCTCAGCAGGACAACTGGGGACTCATAACCAGTTGATCCCAATCAATCCAGGTACAGGAGCAGCACCCAGAGGTGACAGCTGGGGACAAGCACCCTGCATGTGTCCCCATCACTGCGTGAGCTCTGCAAGCAGTCAGGTTTCATGGCTTCAAGATCCAGAAACCATCGGATTTCAGCTGCCAGAAAGACCTCAGCAATCAGCAAAACCAAAAAGAACATAAGGGGTTAATCCCTCTGCAGCATAAAGGCTGAATTCTAAAGAAAAGACTTTTTTCTTTGAATTAAAAATGAAAAAAAAATTGAACTTCTCCAAATGGGTTCTCCAGCACACACCAGGACTGCAGGCTGCGTTTCTCCATCCACGTACACGCAGCGGAAAAAATTCAACACCATATAATTAAAATGACTTAATAAGCCCATTTGTGGCACATTCCACCCAGCACTGCAGAAAGCACTCTGACATTCTGATGTGAGACATTGCCCTCAGCTCCTCCAGCATGGGGAGGCGGCCCAGGATGGACCCTCCATCAGCAGCAAAGGGAGCACTGCTGGAGCCCCAGAGATGCTGTGTCCCCATGGAGCAGCCAGCCCTCCTCCTACCCCCAAGTTCCACCCCCCAAACACCCCCCAGCAGTGCTTAGGACTCAGGTTTTTAGTGGGTTTCTCCCACAATTAATGCATCTGCTGGTGGGAGGTTCCCTTATGGGGAGTGCTTTGCCTTCTGCACGATGTTCCTTGCGGCAGGAACTGTTGAGAGCCCAACCCAGCACCCAAGGAGTGAGCAGAGGTGGGGAAGCAGCTCCTCTGCTTTCTGAGGTCCCAGGGGCACCACAGCTCTGTAAACCACTGCGGAAACCAGCAGCAGTGCCCTCTTTGGGCATGGAAGGCACAGGAGGGGCTGAAAATGCTGAAAAAATACCAGGCCCTCCCACCACCCCACAAGCCCCCCAAGCCCCAGCCCTACCTTGGCTGCAGCACAGACGACGTACTCCAGCTGGAAGCAGACCCCAAAGGCCGGATGGGCGACCATCTCACCCAGCTGCAGGCGGCTCCGCAGCAGCAGCGCCTGCTTTGCAGCGCTGCAGGGAGAGGAGGAGGAGGAGGAAGGCTGCACCCCGCAGGCAGCAGGGCATGGTTTGTACGTCCCTTACCTGTCCGTGGAGCTGGTGGTTTGTCTCCGGGCCACCTCAGCTGCTGGCTGCAGCACGGCCACCTGTGGAGCCTGGACGAAGCGCAGCCCGTTGTGCACACCGACACGCAGCCGCCGCTCCTGCACGCACAGTGCACTGCCAGCCTCCTGCTACGGCCATGGGAGATGGATGTGATGGGGGAACAGGCACTGAGAACAGCAGGGCACGCATCTGCCCTCATCCCACGCGACACAGCTCAGGGCTGGGCACTCAGTGCACAGCCAGTGGCACAGGACTTGGAAGGGCGTCTGCGCGGTGCCAAGGGAAGCCCTACACAAGAGCTACATCTTGGCCTTTTCCAGAGCAGCTGACCCAAATTCTGATAATTATGGTCTGGACACCCAACACATCCTACATAAAGCACCTGTGTGCTCATCCCCACCTGTCTATGAAACAAAGCAAAAGGCTTTCACAGCAGGAAAACCAGGCACTAAGCAGAATCGGTGCTGTAGTGCCATCCATCTGAATGCTGCCACTCCACCTGAGGACAAGCAGTGGCACACAGCTCATCTCTCCCCATTTAATTACGTGGGCATCACCTTCAGCAAGCGGTCGCTGTTCAGCTGCTCCAGCAGCTCTTCCTCAAACTCCTCCAGAGAAGGGTGCAGGAGCACACAGAGCTGGTCCAGGTAGCAGGGGGCCGTCCCCATGAGCCGCGGCTTCAGGAAGATGTCACCTGCAGTGACACGTAGCAACAGGGTCAGTGATGGGCAGCCAGCAGCCCCGGCTTGTGGGCAAGAAATGGAACAGAGAGCATCCCCAGCCAGCAGAGTGCCAGGCGATGGAGAAGCATAAGCCAGGCAGAATTTCAGAGGATTTCTCCTGACAGCCACAAGATGGGACCACTGCACTGCGCTGCTGCCTGCCCTCAGCAGAAGAATTTACCACTGCCAAATAGATGACAGAGTCGTTCTGTTCTGTGAATTTCCAGATCACATCATTTCTTTGTCAGATCAACAGGAACGAGGCTGGCATCTGCAAGGCAATGCTTCAGAGGGCTGCGTGCAGGAGTAGCTCATCCCCCAGCCCTGCCAGCTCTTGGCTGCCCAGAGCAGCACCACCACCAAGGACAAGCTGAGCCAAGCTGTGCAGCCTTCTCTTAAGACTCCTCTGAATGACTCCAATTAAACCAACCATTATTTATCTCTCACTGTTTCCCAGGAGCAAAGCAATTAACGGGGAAGAGAACAAAATGAAGCCATGCAGACACACTGCAGCACTGGATGCAAATGCTACAGTTGCTCCTCCGCCATGGGGGAGCTGCAGAGAAGTCCATGACATTTCTGCCCAAATGAAAAGCAGAGGGAATGAGCCCTGCAGGCCGTGCTGCTGCTCTGGGGGCTGCTTCTAACACTGAGCACAGAAGAGATTCTAAAGCTGAAAGAGAGCAGCAGGACCTGCAGTCTGATCCACTGACAGAGGCAAGCCTGCAGCATGGGGTTGTGCTCATGGCACGGAGCATGGCTGCACGAGCAGAAGTGGCCACGAGCAGCACAGCATCACCCCACAGTTCCAGCAGTGGCAGTGGGACATGAGGGACCCTCACCTGTGTCCCCATGTGCAGGCAGCAGGCCAGGGATCTTCTGCAGGCCAGACACCAGGAAGTTTTCAGGAAGGAGGTGAAATACCTTCTCCAGAGGCTGGTGGAGCTTTAGGGTGTACTGCAGGTGGCTGTTCTCCATTATAGTCATGTATTTATTCTCTAAACAAAAGAAAACGTGATGAAATGACAAAAGCTGTGGGGAGACAGTGCTACGGAGCTGCCATTTTACCCACATCCTTAAGACCCATAAGTGCAGGGCAGGCACAAAATCTGTCCCCAGCACATCTCAGCCCCAGCAATGCACACATTGGCAGCACGGGGACCTCTGTGCTGTGCCAGCAGCATCTCACACAAGGTGACTTTCACTGGGAGCCTCCTCAGCTGGGACAGCGCAGCTATCAGCTTCCAATCCCATTGCATCTTTTTGGAATGGAAACCCATAACCCTGGCATTTTCTTTCCACTACATTGCTTAGAAAAGCGTTTCTAACACATTTCCCCTGAAATGTACCAAAACAGCACAGAATTTCCTCTTTTCATCCGCAGCGCAATGGGGATATCGCTCCTCAAGAGGAGCCAAGGTAATAACCATATATTCAAACAAGCAGCTATTTTCTGCATCAGATCCCAGGCTCACATTCTCATCTCCTCTGTTGCAGCCACACACAGCCCAAGGACAAGGCACGGTCTGTCCTGTGCTGCAAGGGTGCAGAGCCCGCATCCGCTGCCTCCATCAGGCAAACCCAGTGCACACTTGGGTGCAAAGAAAGGAGTGATGTGCACCACGTGCTGCTGCTTACTTTCTAGAGGGTCCTGGAGAAGCGGGTGCAGCAAGGCACGTGGTGTCCCGTGGTACAGCTTGAGCCTGAAACCAAAGGTGAAGCAGTCAGTGGATTCCCAAGTAAGGCCCAAGCAGCACCCCTGGGAGCAGTACCTACACTCTGCCCTTGGCAGCCAGGTCTGAGGGCTCCCGCCTGCTGTCAAACAGTGGGATGAGCCCGAAGCCACACGACACGTCCCGTGAGAGCCCTTCTGGGGTGGGGGCCACAGCCACCACCTCCAGCACGGCTGTGATGCTGGGGTGGCTGAGCGAGGTGTGGAAATACACGGCCTGGGAAGAGATGGGAGAGTCGGGCAACTGAGGGCTGACAGCCCAGCTCTCATTGAGGACAGGGCACATCTCCATGTGAGCACTGCAAAAGGGACTCGGAGGGGATGCTGATGTGCGGCGCCAGGTCCAACCAACACATCATGCTGGGTCCCCAAGAGCTGCAGGAGCCCCTAACCCACAGCACAGGGAGGGCAGGACACGGTAACCTCCCCAGGATGGGATTTATGGTGGGATCAACCTTTCCAGTAAAGCCTCATTATCACAACGCAGTGTCCCAGAGAAAACGTTGGCTGCAATCACGGACTGTCAGGAAGGGATAACAGAGAGAGGCATTAGCACATCATCCCAGAGAAATAAATCGCTACTCTATTATCTTTTATTGCAAAATGCTGAAATAATGACCACTGGCTGCTGACAGGTGGCCAGGCAGCAGGAGACTGATGCCACAGGAACAGGAGCTGCTAAAGCACATCTGTTGTTAAGAAAAAGGTTATAGCTGTCTCCTAAAAGCCAACAGCAGTTCCCAGAACACTCCCATCTCCTCTAAGCCCTCCATCAGTGCAGCAAGAGTGTTCCAGCAGGGCTGAACTGGTGAGTGCCAGACTGGGGAGATCTGAACCACAATGCAGAGCTCCATTTCCATGTTCTGGTGCCTGGGAAGTGCCACCTGCATCGCAGGGACAGTGCCCCACACGTGGGCTCATGCAGCACGTGGATCAGCACCGTGTTCCTCTCTCTTGGCAGCACTCTGTGCCATGGTTTCCCCCATCGCTATTCACAAAGCATGGGCTGAGCGATGATTCAAACACCCCAGGATGAAATGCATATGCCAATGTCCCTCAGATGCCATCAGAGATTTAAATAAATCACAGAGCACGGCTCTGATCTATGCTAAACTTCATCCTTGGCACAACGCGTTGATTGAAGTGGAAATAAAGGCTATAATTAGACCCTATCATGACCAAGGAGATGAAGCCTCAGCTGCAATCAATGCTGCAGGGACTGCAGTCTCATCACAGCTGTGCACAGCAGCAGTGCAGCTGGCTGCACACCCAGGGACCCGTGTAAGGTCCTGCCTTAGGGCAGTAAGTTCTGCAGGGACCCCGGTGGATAAAAGCCTGGCTTTGTGCAAGAGCAGCACCTCCACAAGAGCTGCTGTGGAGCTGCTGCTCAGCCCATCTGTGTCTGAAGGAACAGTGCACTCTGCTGCTGGCACGGAGGCACAGCACCACATCAGCCAGCCTGCAGCTTGAAGGGTTTGCCCATTAGAATACATCATAATTAATAACCGTGCCTCAACGGGAACATGGGAGATGCACCCAGCTGCAAGATCGTGGAGTGGCAGGGCATGGAACCAACACCTACCATGAAGCCAACCAACCCTGATGGCCATACCTCATTGAAGAGCACACAGGGGGGCTGCCCTGGGGGGCTGCAGGGGGTCCGGGTGCTGCTGTGCCACGTGTGGCCAAAGAAGTGGCGGTGGGCGGCATCGAAGAGAGACAGGCGGAGCTGCAGCTCAGCTGGGGGCTGCTGCAAGAGAGAGGGGGGGTGTGGGGAATGCAGCTCCTCACCTGCACCTGGGGGCATGGGGAAATGCCTCAGGACAGGGCAGGCTATCAGAACCTGGGGGATACAGCACAGCTGACTCGTGCTTCTACAGCAAAGCTGATGAATGTTTGTAACGCATCACCCTTCTAGTGCAGAAAATGCTTACCTACCCTAAAGGTTAGCATGTAAAACTGTAACTCAGATGTGTAGATGGAAGCACGTGGGATTTACATACAGCTCTGCTTTGATACTGGGAGATTTAGGACCCCAAAAGGAAGTGAATGTAGCAGAAATCTGAGCTCTGCTCAGCCCTCCTGACAGCTGGCAGACACCAGATGGCTGCTGGGCACACAGCACTCACGCCTGTGATGCCTGCACCCTCCCAGTCCCACAAGCAGGAGGAGACTTCCAACCAGCCCAGCACCGTCCTGCAGAGCCTCTGGAGTGTAATGTGCTTCCTGCTTTTGGCTGTACAGCTCCATACCTGCGTGACAACAGAACCCTCGAGGCACTTCAGGACACACTGGAAAGGCACCGAGCGCTCCGGCGCGCCGTGTCTGCGCTGGGTGTGAGGTGGGACAGCACGGCTCTGTGCAAACAGCCGCTCCCACTCAGCCATCTCACCCGCTGGGGTCACCTCCTCCTGCAGGCATCTGCTGGGGGATGCTCAGCTGGGAGAGACAGCACACAGTGAGGGGAAACACGGCCAAGCGGTGGAGCAGCACAAATGCACGACCCCAATTCTGCACATTGCACAGAATTCCTGCACACACACACACACACGCGCTTTCCCCTCACCCACAGCACGGTGACACGCCGGGGACCCGCAGCAGCGCCCTGCAAACCAGCAGTGAGAGCTGCCAAAGGTTGAACGTGCGAGCAAGAGCTGACCCGGAGCGGTGCCGGTGTTACCCGGCGTGGCACCGCTGGGAGCTCCGCACTCCGTGTGCGCGTGGCAGAGGCCCGCAGCAGCGCAGGGCCCATCCGCACCGAGCGCGGCGCGCACCTATAGCGGCCGTTCTGTGCGCTGACACCTCCGACCCCCGCACGAGGCGCGTGCCCAGCACGGAGCGTTGCGGTACGACGCGGGCCGCCCCGCCGCGCACTCACCGCTCCCGCCGCGTCCCGCCGCCATCTTCTCGGACCGCACCACCGCCGTGCGGGAGGGGGGATTCGCCGCGCCGCTCCGCGCCGCTCCGCACCGCCCGCATCCCGCAACCCCCAAGCGGTCCCACGCGGCGCCGGAGACGGCCGGAGGTCGCGGTGGCGGTGCGGGGCTCAGGGCACGGCCGGGGCCGGGAGAGGCGGCGGTTCCCCCCGCGCCGGTGGTCGCGCCTCGCGCGGCGTCGGGTTACTGGGGCGATGCGCGCCGCCCCGCGGGGGAGGCACCGCCCGGCTCCGCTCCGCGCCGCTCTGCTCCCGTCCCGCCGCCCGCAGCGCCGCGCTGGTGAGCGGGGCGGGGGCCGGGGATGCGGGCGGTGGGGATGCGGAGCCGAAGGACGAGGGTCGGCGGGGCGCAACGCGGGGGTCGCGGGCAGCGGCAGACCCCGGGCGTTACGGGCTCCCGGCGGCCGCTCGGCGGGGGGACGGGGCGGGGCCGCGCCCCTTTATAGCCAATGGGCGCGGCGCGATTTGCATGCTGCCGGAGCGGCAGGCCGCGCAGCCAATGGGAGGCGGCGGGGCGGGGCACGCCCCCCACGAGGGCGCCGCGCGGGGTGCGATGTCCGCGCAGTGCGGAGCCGCTCCCCGCACCGCGGTGCCGCGCGGCCGTCGGATGGGGTCACGCCGGACGTTACCGCTCGTGCGGCGGCAGCGCCGACAAAATGCTCCTTTCTGCCCTCCCGTTGCCGAACCTCGAGCCGCCCCGCACGGCCCCGCACCGCACACCTCGAGCAAGCGGGGCCAGATTGCCGCTGGCTCTTGGAAACGCGCTGCTGTGAGCCGCGCCGCCGCGCCGTGGGCGAGCGCCAAAACAGCTGAAATTCATGTGTGTAGCAAGTACGCATATTGCCGAGGAATTACACATGCATATATGCAGCGATTCCCCCGCCGGCTCACAAGAACGCCGCTGCTCGCCGCCGCACGTGGAGGTGCACGAGAGCCGTGGGTTTCCTTTGGGTGTTTCATGCTGCCCAAGGAGGGGAGCGCTGAGACGTGCCCGAGCCCCACGCTGTGCCCCTGCCCCGTGTGCAGCCCTATGGCACAGAGTGCAGCACCGCATCTGGAAGGGCCGCGCGTGGTTTCCTGCCGTGCCAGGAGTGGTGCGGCGCGGTGAGGGACTCCCAGCGTTTGGTGCTCCCGGTAAATCTCGGCATCGGCTTCTCCTCGTGTTTCCCTGTGCCGGGCAGCACGCCCACAAGCTGGGTTTGCAGAACAGAGGGCGATTTTCTGGCTGTGCTGACGGCAGTGCCATCAGTCCCGGCGGCCGTGGCACTGCTGGGGCCGCGTCTGCGCACAGAGCCCCGTTGGTTTTCACCATCCGAGTGCGATTACAAGCACAACAAGGCTGAATTTCGGGCTATTTTGGGACTTCTGAGGCAGATGCCTTTCCTTGTTTTTCCAAGCTGCCATCCCATGTCCTGCGTGCGGCACAGAGAGTGGGTTCCTGCTTTCCCATCCCAATGCCAACTGCGAGCTGCGCGCTTCTGAAGCAGCAGTCCTTGCTGCTCTCCTGGCCTCTGGTTCTGCTGCCAAACCTGGGCAGGGTCAGCTCTGCTGTAGCAGAGCCATGCTTATGCAGGTGTTTCCCCTTCACCTCCAAAGCACACATTCTGGGGAAGAGCTCTCCAAGATGACAAAAAAAGCAAAAGCCAGTTAATTAAAAAGCAGCAACCGCTGCCAGCGGGGCACCTCTTAGCGCTCACCAGGAGCTCTTGGTGCAAAGACAGAGGCACGCGTTGCGTGCTGGTGCCAGGAGGAAGGCTCGGGGCTGGAGCAGCCCTCGGTCCCGGTGCCACGCGGGTGGCACGGAGGTGACCCAGCGCCGTGGGGTCCCGAGATGCGGTGCTGCGCCTCGAGCTCAGCTGAGCCCCGTGGGATTCTGGCGGCGGCTCTGGGTGCCGGCACATCGTCCTGGCTCTGTCTGCTCCTCTGGGGCAGCGCTGAGGACGCCAAGCTGGTGCACGTCCTGTTCTCTCCTCGGATCTCACAGCTCCGGTGCCGGCACCCCCGCCCCCGCTCCGCGCAGCCGTGCCCCATCCCCGCGCTGCCGTATTCTCTGTTCCTTCAGAGCGGCACCGGCGCGGTCGGAAGGCGCTTCCCCCCACCCCCCCGCAGCCCTTTGTCCCGCACGGTGCTGCGCTGCGCACGCCCGCACTGCGCGGTTCCGGCGGCGGCGGTGCGGGAGCGCCGATCCGAGCGGCGGGGCCGCCCCCCCCCCCCGCACCAGCACCGCGTTGGGGCGCGGAGGGATGGGGTAAACGCGCCCTGCTCGGCGCTCGCTGCGGACCGGCACCTGGCACCGCGCTCCCAGATCTGCAGAGCCTCCATCTCGCCGCCGTCAGCTGATTTGCGTCTCGGTTCTGTGGGTCTTTCTTCTTGTTTTTTTTTTTTTTTCCCTCCCGACCGCGCATCTTCATCGCCGAGGAGGAAAAACTTTCGGGGAGGGCTGGCTCTGCGTGCCCGCACGCCGCGGAGGAGAGGTGGGTGCGCGCCGCGGGGTCCTGCGCTGCGGTGCGGTGGGGCCGGGTCGGTGCGGTGCGGCTGTTTGTGCCTCGCCCGCAGGTGCAATGCCGCATCCAGCCCGGATGGATGCAGTGAGTCCCTGCAGGGCTGCACGCCGCGGGTGTTGGGGTGCAGCGTTACTTCGGTGCTCACAGAACGCGGATGTGAAAAGGAATGATGGCCCGCGATGGGCCCACATGTGATTATCGGGTTTGTCACTCCAGGAGCTGAGCGGTGCTGTTTCAGAGTGCACGGGAAGAGCAGGCGGCCTCACGTGTTGCAGCTCAATCCCTGCCGGGCGGGTCTCCTGGTGTTAGAATGAATGGGTTATGCCATAACTGCACACCCGAGCTGCTGCAGGGAGCTGCGGTGTGGCTGCGGCTGGCCCGGCTCTGCGGGAACCTGCGGGGACACGAGTGCTGCCTGCAGCCCTGCAGGTACTGCTGCGGGCAGGGACATGGGGACGTGGGGACGTGGGGACATGGGGACCCAGGCATACAGGGACCCAGGGATGCAGAGGATGTGCGAAGCATTTGCAAGTCATAGCAGGGCAATGAGTAATCGTCCTTAACTCATCTTTTCCGTAGCACGTTTGGGGGAGAATTCGCTGAGGATGCTGTTTACCAAGTCCAGGGGGAAAAAAAATATCAATCTCAGAATGGGCACCTTGAGTGGAGAGAGGCTCTGTGTGGTTGAGACATCATCACATGAAGGGCTGGGAGCTAGACACGGGCTGGGTGCCCTGGGGGGGTCCCACTGCTCCTCCATCCTTTTCTTGGCCACTCAGCCCGGGCTCTGCCATGCTCCAGCCACAGCAGTGACAGCCACAAAGGGCATGGGAAGGGGCAAGTATAAATCCAGTCCTTCTGGGACTTGGTAGGACATTTGTGCCCATGATGTTTCCCATGTAGCAGCCACCCAAAGCCGGTGCTGTTCTGTGAGGACATCCAACAGCGTGGTGCCAGGTCTGCACTGGAAGCAGAGCAGCAGATCAGTGCCCACCCCATGTGCTGGGCTGCTGCTGACGGAGCTGGAGATGCTCACAGGACCTGTGCCTGGGGCTGGCTGGGGCATGTGAGCATCACATGGTGGCTCTACCCAAAGGAGAGCTCCTGGCTAAGAAACAGGCATGGGCTCTCACTTTGGTCTTTTGGCATCACTTCATCCATGGGGTAGGTGCTGCCTGTCTGATCTCTGCCGGCATGTTCCTATATCTGTCTACATCTTGTAGAGACCAGGATAAAACCATGCCATTGGATCTCAGCAATTAACATTAATGAATGAGTCTTAAAGTCTCCTTCAAGCAATGCATCAGGCACAGCCTCTGCTCCGGGCCTTATTAGCCATCAACCCTTCCAGCATCCCAGTGGCTCTCCTAAACCATCATGGCGGTGAGGACGGGGATGAGGATGAGGATGGGGATGGGAGCATTTACGGCACCCCTTGCCCCCAGGTCCTGAGCACATCCCACAGCTTTGTTCCCAGTACCCAACAGAAGAAAACGCTTCTGTTTCTTCCGTGCACCACCCTGCAGAAATCAGTGCAGCTGGGGCCTCCTAGTGAGTTTTGCCCTGATGAAGCTGAAGCTGAAGGCATCATCTCAGCCTCCAGCAGGGAAAATAGGAACATGCCAGCACTGTGGGGCCAGGGATGTTGGCTCTGAACTTCTGGATGGTCGCGCTGGTTCTTGGTCTCCGGTGCTGCCCTGCACTGTACCAGCTGCCCCATGGCACACTGCTTTCCTTTGCAGCTGGGACAGGACCCACTGCTCCATGCTGGAAGAAGGCACCCTGTGGGCTTCCCATCCTCTTCTGCATCTCAGTGCCACCAGCAGGTCCCCCTGAGAGTGGTCACTGCTCTGTACTGTCACAAGTTCCTGAAACAGGGTCAGGTTTGTCCCAGGCTGCCCACAGCCAACGCACTGTGGAATGCAGGGCTGGCACTGCCACAGTTATGCAGAACACCCCAAATGAGCACTGCTATGCTGTGCATTCATTTTGAGCCTCAGTTTCTGGCCTTTCCCACCCCCCTGCTCATGCAGGCACAGAGCAGTCCATGCCCGGCTGTGGCTCAGTGCAGGGTCTCTGTCCCCTGCAGGTGCCCCACATTGCATGCAGCTCCCCTTAGCCTCAGCGTTTTGCTTCCTGTTCACTCCTCTGGGGAGGGCACGAAGTGCAGTGCAGGAGCATTAGCGTGCGGTGGGAGGTGCTGTGCATGCGAGGTTCTGTCCTCAGGAGCAACGCTGCTGCTGCCCGCACTGCCCCCTCCTAGGGACACCCTGCAGCGTTCGGGGACCTTCCATCCAGCCCTGCCCATGGGGCTGCTAAGCCCCGGCGGGGAAGGTGCTCGTGCTGCAGGAGTGATGCAGGCTCCCAGGCACCCCCCAGGGGCCGGGATGGGGTTGCGGCACTTGGCAGCATCGCGCATCCGGGTGACACTGCAGCAGCGCGGGTCGCGTCGCTGCAGGGAGCGGTGCGGCAGAGCAGCTGTCTCCCGGCATTCAGCAGCCGAACCCGTCCTTGCCGTGAGCTGCAATGACCCCGTTCCTTCTCGTGCGAGGCGCTGCGGCTGCAGCCGGGAGCAGATGAGAGGGCCGAGGGACCGCTGCCGCTCTGCGCAGGGTTTGCTGCAGGGTTGCAGCACGGGGACGGCCGCGCTGCCGCAGCCGCTGCCATTGGGCCGTGCGGGCTGCAGGGGATGCAGCGGGATGCGTGCGTGCCACGCCGGGCTGTGCATCCGCTGGAGAAGCGGCACGGAAATATCTCGCCCCAAATCCAGGGCAGAAAGCAGCTCACCGTCTGCAGCGCAGAGATTCGGTGCCGTGCGCTTATGGAAGGATCATTTGAATTTGAAAGATTAAAATCCCGCCCTTCCCCTCCCGCATTCCTCCCCCCTCCCCCCGAAGTACAATAGCGTGAGGGCTGCAGAGCAGCCACGGGAATTGGTGCGGGTGGGAATAACGCACACCCTGCAGGGGGAGCCTCCGGGGGATGCTGCAGCGTCGTGTTGGGGATTTTTTTTTCCTCCCATCAGCAAAATGTTGAATTTTGCAGGCCCTGAATTTCTTCACTGCTTCCTGCTGTGTCGCAAGAGCACGCTCAGGGCAGCGGGGCGGGCGGCAGGGCAGGAAGCAGTGCAGGCAGCAGCACAGGCAGCGGGCAGCCCCGCTCTGCACCCAGCAGCACAGCAATGGGCCGGGCTGGGCACAGCATCCACATGGCACCCAAGCTCACACTCAGCTGTGGTCCTGCTGTCTGCATCAGCTGCGATGTGGCAACTCTGCCTTCCGCCAAGTGGCAGGAGTTTGTGAGCCCATAATGGGGGTTGGTGGCATGGGATGGACTGTGGGGGGACGTGGGGTAAGCAGAACCACGGTGGTGCCGGTGGCGGTGCTGGATCCCACACGGGATGGCAGAGCTGTGCCATGCCCGCACCACACCGCACACCCATCCGGCCCACAGCAGGAAGCGCCGTCACTCTCACACTCCAACTCTCTGCTGATTCAACCCGGCTTCCTCTTTGCAGGGGTGAGGCAGCGCGCGGGGCGAGCTTGGCGAGGCTGGCTCCATGTATCCGGAATCCACCACGGACTCCCCGGCACGACTCTCGCTGAGGCAGACGGGCTCCCCCGGCATGATCTACAGGTGAGCAGCCATGTGAGCAGAGCCCCGGGCAGCCCCTGGGTGCCAGCACCCCATATTAGTAGAGCTGATCCCTGCCGGTACGCCGCGCAGCGCTCGTGGGTTTGGCAGCGACCCGTCCCGGCTCGGCTGCGCGGTGCTGCCACGCTCCCCACTCTGCTAACGCGCTTTGTGGCATCTTTCTTCTCTCTCCTCCTTCCTTGCTGTCGGAAGCGCGAGGTATGGGAGCCCCAAGCGCCAGCTCCAGTTCTACAGGTAACCGCGTCCTTTCCTTCTCCCTAAAAATGCCTCTGGGAAGCACAGATGGCCCTCAGTGGGGCAACCCCTGCTTGTGCTAAGGTCCTGTCTGGGGGCTCCACTGGGCCGGGACACCCGCATCTGTGTGTGCCGGCTGTGCCGTGGGCAGCTGCACGCTGAAGGATCTGGCTGGGGCATGGAGAGCACTGGGAGGGCCGGGATGTGGGGCTGGTGCTGTGTGGAGAGCAGCCCCGGCTGTTAGCCATTCCCAGGGGGTGTTCCGGGCACCCATCCAGCCCTCTCATCTGCTCCTTGCATTAAGAGAAATGTCATTAACTGATACCTAAGACCACAGATGGTTGGGTTTTTTTTACCCAACCTTTTACTGTCTAAAATTAAAAAGGCACTTTTCCCCAGCGCAGCGTGCCAGCAGGGTGCTGTGGGGTACGAGGATGGCCCACAGTGGCACGAGGAGTGATGCACTGAGTCTGTGTCCCCCAAACACAGTGGATGGCATGAGGGTGGCGAGAGGGGGACAAACCTGTGCTTAGGAGATGTGTGTCCGCCCAGAGGTGCTTGCATTTCAGCCCCCTGGCACTGCAGGGATGGCTGTGTTCCGTGGATGGACAGCTCAGCTCACGGCACCACAAGGCGCCGCGCTGCAGCCGCTGGTGAGGGTCGGCTCCGGGCGGAGGAAACGATGCCAGCGTTCATAAAGCAGCTGCACATCCACAGGCTTTTAGCGAAGAAGTCATGAATAATTGAGCTCCTGTTAGCTAGGAAGAAAATACCCTAATAGGACTAATGGAGCGCCGCTCAAAAACTTGACTCTGGGGGGACTTGTGTTCACCAATTGCTTCGGATGCTGTGCGCCGACACTCCCCTCCATGAAAAAAACCACAGCTGTGCCTCCCTTATAGCTGTCTGAGGGAACCCTAACAGCCAGAGCTTTCCTTTTTAATGAGCAGGAACCCCAGAAGCCGGGTGAGTCCGAGGCGCCAGGGCGGCACTCAGGGCTGTGAGTGGGGGCTGCGTTCCCTGCTGGGGGCTGCAATGTAACACTGAGCTGCTCGGCTGGGGAGGGCTTTGTTTGGGCTTCTTGTTATTGCAGTTGTTGCAGGCTGTGACACCCCGGGCTGTGGGTTGGGACAGAGGCATCGCATTGCACCTCATCCTCCATGCGGCGCTGGGGCCCCGTGGGCTGGGATGGGGACACGGGGTGATGGCAGCACACAGAGCCCAGGATGGGTGCTTCCCACCGTGGCACATCACTGCCCGGCTTCGGCAGCTTCTCCAGCCCTGGGCTGAGCCGTTGCTTCTCGCTCTTCAGTTTGCAGAAAGTTTGTGCTAATAAGCTGCCTGTGGGTGCGCCTGGTGCTCTCCCCGCTGCATGGCGTTGTTGCTCAGCCAAAAATCACAGAGGTGTCAGTGCAGGGCACGCCATTAATTACCGCCTCGCTGCTCCGATCGTCCCCCTCCGACTCCAAGCGCCGCTTTAATTTAATTGCAGTGAGATGAAGGCAGAGAAGCAGCGCTTTGCACTCCTCCAGCTGCACAGTGAGGGGCAGCCAGTGGGGTTGTGTGTGAGATCCGTCAGCCACGGAGAAGGGCTCAGTGCTGGCACTGCAGATCTGGGGGTGCCAGAGGTCGGGGGGGTTTGCTTTCTGCCCTATGGCCCCGCTGCAGAAATGTGGGGGCACCCAGGGAGTGCTGTGCTGCAGTGGGCGCTTTGTGGCTTGGACCTCAGGTAGGGGATCCTCTTTTTGCATTTCCCTGCACTTTAGGAACATGCTGGGTTGCTTTCCTGCACACGAGGAGCTCCAGAGCATTTTCAAAAAGCGCTGTTTATCGCAGGAGCTCCCTGGGGTTTTTGGTAATTCCTTGCAAGCTAAAGCTCTTTTTTTCCCATTCTTGCTTTTTTCTTGGGGTCATACTTGAGTACAAAAGCGCACTTTGCACCATAGAACTTCTGTAAAACTAAACTTCATGGGAAAAAGAAAGAATGCCCCATGGCAGTGGGGTGCAGGCAGGCTCTGCTCCGCGCCCATCACCAATACGGGGCTGCATGGGGCTGCCAGGCGCCGGCTGCTCTGTGCAGGCACTGAGTGCAGTGGGAGTCCCAGGGAGAGCAACAAGGGAAAATCAGTGCCACCTCTTCGGTGCCGCTGCGGTGAGGTCGCGGTGCACTGTCAGTGCTGCGGTGTTGGCTGGTGGCACGGACTGCAGCACCCTGACGCGGGCACCCACGCGCCCACCACTGCCAGGGCGCATCCCCGTGGGTCCCCATGTAACTGGCACGTGGCACATGGCAACGACCAAGGCAGGAGGCACCGGAGCCTCACACCTACGCCCGTGCCGTGTGCCACCTTCCCTTCCCCGCTGCTGCGCCGCATGTCCCATTCCTTTGGCACCCTGGCTTTCCCGCTTCAGCCGGTTGTTGTGCTACCTATGGCCGGGTCCTCTTGCCATCTCCATGCCACGCACAGCGCTGTGGGGTCCGGGGACAACCGAGTGTCCCCACCGCCCGCTGAGCTCCGCCGCCCGCCCCGCAGCCCCCGCGCTCAGGCAGCAGAATGCTGTCCATGACGTACAGCGAGAGCCTGCGCAGCGTGGCCAGCCGGCACCACGCCGACTGGGGGCTGCAGCCGCCGCGCCGGGCGGATGCTCTGGAGCTGCGGCGGCTGCGGGACGTGCGTGCAGCAGCACAGGCCAAGACGTTGGAGGAGTTCCTGCGGACACACGGGCTCTCGCTGGACGGCTGCACGGCGCGTGTCACAGGCATGAAGTACAGGTAAGGGCCGTGGCCAAATGTCCCCTGGCACAGTATGGGAACTGGTGAATCACGGCCTGAACCACTGATTGGTCACCTGAGGTGAGCACTGAGTCAGCCACGGGAGCACAGTTGGAGGCAGTGGTTCCACCTCTCCTAGACCCCATTTAAGGGCTGACTGACACTAGGGAAGGATCTCTTTCTGGAGATCGCTCCCTTTGGAGTTTTTTCTGTGGGGACACGGGTGAACACTTCATTCATTTTTGATTATCTCTTTCCCCTGCGACAATCTTTCTAGTTATACGACCTGTAAAATACCATCCTAACCATGCCTCTCTGCTAACTGTATATCTGTTGGTTGTACAGTACAGGAGCAGGGTGACACTGGGGCAGGGGATGTGGCAGCTCCATGTGTGCCCAGTGCTGTGCTGTGCTGCCCAGCATGGTGCAGGAGAGGCCGGAGCAAATCAGTGCATTCTTGTAGGCGCAGTTCAATGCTCTTGTCTTTTCTTCACTTTAACTCCAGTGTTGGCACAGAATTGGTGAGTGCCAGTGCATGGTGCACATGCTGCACTCCCCCAGCTGTGAAATGCAGCACCAGAGCACAGGGCAGGGGATAGAGCTGAGCCAATGTCCCATGGAGTGCACAGCGCCTGCAAGCACAGGGCCAGCAGTGTGCCATTAATGTTGCATGGAGGTGAGGGTGGTGAGCGCTGCGTCGGTGTCTCGGCTTTCATGATGCTGCGGGGGGGAAAGGGAGAAAGCAGCTCCCATGGAGGAAAGGGCAGCGGGAGTTTCCGCTTCAGAATAAGCAGAGGTAACATTTACACCGTGGCAATGACTCATTCAGTATTCATGCAGTGGTTATTTATTGATGGAGTGAGGTGCGTGCGGGCACAGCCCTCGGGCACCCCCTCGCCATAGGCCCGGTGCAGGGGCTGGGGGGGCCCAGTGGGGCTGCTCCCACAGATCTCCAGCTGTTCCTTTGGGCAAAAGCTGCTGGTGGGAGTCTTAATCTGGGCTCAGGCTGCGGGCAGATTAACACGGGGCTGGGGGGGGGCTGCAAAAACGCCCGTGATTTTGTGCCCGTGGGAGGCAGCGGCGATGCTGCAATGGGTGCGGGCTTCCCGGGGTCCACATCACCCATCCCCGCTGCCCGAGCAGAGCAGCTTGGAGGCAGAGGGAAACCCGAGCAGATTACAAATTTTCTCATTGCGCCGGAGGCCGAGTTTATGTAATCCCCCGCGCACCCCCCAGACCGACCCACGGCCCCGCACCGCTTCTCTCCGCTGTAGGAATCGGCGCAGTCTGTGGCCGCGTGGGCGATCCCTCCCGCTCAGCCCATTACTTCCCGACCACTGGAGCCGCCTGCATCACCGGGGGCACACGGGCAGCTGCTGCGCACAGCCCGGAGCCGAGCGGCCATCGGCACCGCCGCGGCTCCGTCCTTCAGAGGAGACACCGGGTTTGGGTTTCACTTAATCGCTGTAGCTCTGTCTGGGGAAGTTTCGGGGAAGAGGCGCTCGGGGCGCGGCTCAAAGCGGCTCCAGCTTCAAACCCACCGGGCTTCTGACCCCGGGGGCGCTGGCGGTGCCCGCGCTGCGGACATACCGGGGGCGCGCGGCTCCCCAGCATGGAGCGGGGGCAGCGGTCACGCTCTGCCTCCCCACCTGCCCCGCCGTTGTTTGTTTGCTTCCTAAAACTCATCAAATATTGATGGCCCGGAGCCGCTCTAAGCCGTGCCTCCCCCCCAGCCCCGCAGCCGTCATGTTGGCTGAGTGATGCTCCGCCGACGTTAGGAGGAGGGCTCTGCCGCGCGGAGTTGGCCGTCTAAATTTAGGCTGCTGCCGCCTCCGCGGCCGCGGAAGGGTCACGGGCGATGCCGGGAGGCCGTGGGCGCGCGGTGCCCTCGGTGCCCCCGCCCCGGGCACCGACCCTACGGGAGCCACGCGTCCGCCGTCCGGGAACAATCTGGGCGTAGGGACGCGGCGCCGCCGGAGGCGTCAGCGGCACGCAGGACTCGAAGTTTGCCTTCAGCCTCGGGCAGGCGAGCGCCGGCGCTCCCCCGCACCTCCGGATCCGCGCGTCTGGGGGAAGCCCTCCCCGCCATCCCCGGCCCCCGCCGCGCCGCGCCGCACCGGGAGGAGCGTGGGGCTGAGCCCCGGGGAGGAGCGAACCGGCAGCCCGACAGCGGGGCACCATGCAGGTCTCCTTTGTGTGCTCCGAGCACAGCATCAAGAGCCGGAGCGCGGAGGACCGGCTGAACAGGCAGAATGCCAGCAGCCCCAGCCTCGGCACCCGCAGCAAATTCCGGGCGGTGGCCATGGTGGCCCGGAGCCTGGGGCAGCTCTCGGTGCAGAACGCGCCGTCGTCCAGCGAGTCCAGCATCAAGCAGCCGGGCATGAAGTACAGGTAGGGGAGGGACGTGCTGTGTTTGGGGTTCTGCTGCCGGTTTGGGTGCGTTGGATGCCCCCCAGATTTGTGAGGAGGGGGTTCCGGGCCGTGCCGTGCTCTCCCCAGATCCCCTCTCCCCTACTGGCTGTGGGTTTCTCAGTGCTACAAGTGCTGCTCTGCTCTCTGTGCGCTTTGCTCACCTTCCTTTCCTTCTTTGCAGTTTGCGCTCTCTCCCCTCTCGGTGTGGTTTTAGCATAAAGCAGTGGGACAGGAGGAGACAAAGTGCTCCCACAACGTGCTGTGGGGCTCAGGAGGACCGCAGTGTGGGAGCCGTGGGAGCAGCAGCTGTAGGGGCTGCAGGGGCTCTGCGGTGCAGCCATCCATGGGTTGTGATGGCATCGGGGCTGTGCAGTGCTGCCAGAACCCTCCAGAGCTCAGGGTGAGGGCTCAGCCCTCAGTACACGGGTTTGGGATGAAGCACAGCGTGCACACAGGACGCCTGGCACTGGGCAGATGAGGGAACGCTGCAGCAGCGGATGGCAGAGGCTCCAGCCCAGCAGAGCGGTGCTGGGCTGCAAAGTGCGGCAGGCAGGCGTGTTGCTGGGGCGAGATCAGCCATCAGCCCCTGTTAGCATCCCCATTACCCGGGTCAGCCATCCTACAAGCCATGCTAAGGCCATGCATACTCAGCATTCCATATGCTGTTCTCTGCTCTGCCCTGCTCCTCTTTCCTTAGGCCACCCCTCTGGGGTCCCCCAGGACAGCCCCTGGAGGTGGCGGTGATGGCATTGCAGCAGGGCCACCAAACTCTCCAAATCTCCCACTCTGCTCCATACAAACTCTGCTCAGAGTGGTGCTTGAAGGGCTGTGCACCACACAGGGGATGCTCATTCCATCCCTGCATTGCTGCGAGCGAGCAACCCATAGGCTTGCACGCAGGAAGCCATGAGCAGGGATGCTCCCATTGCCCCAGTGCCACACTCCTGGCTCGGGTTGGTTCCTCTCCGTGTCGCTGCCTCTGCCCTCTGACAGCCCACAGCCATCACCTCTGCCCTCTGCTACGCAAGCTAAAAATAAATGGGGCTGAGACACGGAGCATCTGCTCTGTAGCACCCACGCCTTCCAGATGTTGGACAATAACGCAGCAGCGCAGAAGGAAAACATCCTGATTAATCTCAGCCTGAAATTAATAACCATCGCCGTGGTCCATCCCCTCGCCCCAGGGGTGGATCCCTCTGTTGTGGGCACGGGACGTGGCACGTTGCTACGCGACGCGGCCGCGCGCGGGCGGGCAGCAGCAGCTCACCTACACTTTATTTATTTTAAAGCTTGTTGTTCGAACCTTTGTGATTTGTAAAAATGCGCCATCAATCACTGTGGCAAAGGCGGAAAGGACGCCTGCCAGCCTGGATTCCTTCCCAAAAGAATGTTCTCCACTTTTCGGTGCTGAGTTTGGGGTATCACGCAGGGGTGCTGTGTTTCTGTGGGCAATGTGCTGCAGGTCCCTGTGTCCTCGTGTCCCCATGGGTGGCTGCTGCCCTGTGCCCACACTGGGTACCCCTCTTGCTCCTCCTGCCCCGTGCCCTCACGCAGCCCCCATTCTCAGTGTTCTGCTGCTCCAGCAGCAGTTCTTGTCTCTGGAAGGAGCTGCATCCACGCTCCTTTTTTGTGGTTCATTCTCTCCGGTGCCTTCTGGCTCACGACAGCTCCGTGTTTATTTCTGTTGCAGAAGTAGAGCAGCGACCGGGGCTGGGGAGCACAGTGCTCTCAGCCACCCTTTCCCCTTTCCCTCCTCTCTGTGTTCCATAAAATCCAACCCTGACTTCTCCAGCCACAATTCAGGGCTCAGAGCTCAGTGCTGCTGTGCTCTGCCCTTCTCTGCACTGGTGCCCTCCTGAGTGGGTTCCCCCCTTCCTCCTGCACAGCACCAGAGGGGTTCTCTGTGTGATTAGCTGAATTAATGAGCACGGTGTGGATGTCCGGCTGCTGCTCTAACGGGTCTCTATCTTTCAGAAATCTGGGCAAGTCTGGGCTGCGTGTATCCTGCCTCGGCCTGGGTGAGTGCACACTCCCCATCCTGCCCCACAGCAGCACTGAGCTCCCAGCTGCCACTCAGAGCCAGAGAAGTCGGCTCTGTCCCCATTCTGAGGGGTGGTGGGGATGCAGCACGGCCACGCTGCGCTCACTGTGTGCCATCTCTCCCTGCAGGGACATGGGTGACATTCGGAGGACAGATCACAGACGAGGTAAGGACCCCACGCCCGCAGCACGCAGCCTCAGCAGCAGCTCTGAATGCACTGGGGCTGCGGCCCTTGGGGTCCCCATCCCCAGGCATCCCCTCCCCTCCCCACAGATGGCCGAGCAGCTGATGACTTTAGCGTACGACAACGGCATTAATCTGTTCGACACGGCAGAAGTCTACGCTGCTGGCAAGTGAGTACCATTGGCACCATGCAGGGAGCCTTCCTCGCCAGCCCTGCTCCTCCTCAGCATGGCCAAATCCCGCTGGTCCTCAGCTGGAGGTGCTTTGGGACACATCCCGAGCCCCCTCAGCTGTGGGCTGCGATATATTTAGCAGGCAGAGCAGCACTGTGGGTATCGACACAATGGCAGAGCCTTTTTTTCCCTTTAAACCCACTCCTGCATTACGCAGAAACCTGTGCTGGGGGAGGAACGGCGCGTTCTGCACACTTGGTCCCACATGCTGAGCACGAGCAGCCCCAGCCCTCAGGGATTGCTCTGGGCTGGGCACCCCGCGACCCCACACAGCCCGCCAACCTCATACAGCCCCCCAACCCCACACAGCCTCCCACCCCACACAGCTCCCTCCCTCAGCTCTGCATTTCCACACTCCCAAGGTTCCCAGGTGCTCATTCAGTCTTCAAAGCCCTTCAGCACAAGCATGCTCGCAGGCTCTCCAGTTCCTAAATATTTGAAAGAGGGTTTGGAAGGAGGGCTGCTCTCCTGCAGCACGCAGGAACGTTCCCCCCAGGAGCACTAATAGGCGCTTCCCATCCCCGCACCGCACGCTGCCCTCCGTTTGCTCGCCGAGGACAGCCGCTGTCATGCAGGTTGGTTTGAAAGTTTGGAGAGTGGAAATAATTAAATCATTCCGCCTCTCCGCGCTCGTTTTGGGAAGTCATTTCACATTTGCTCAAACATTCCATCCCACCACAGCATCTCCTGCTGGGGTGAGGGCTCCGTCCCAGCCCGTGGCCTCTGCGTGTGCTGACCCGGTTCTGCTCAGCCCCACTGAGGCTGGGCTGGAGGCGACCCCGGTGCTGAGCGGTGTGATGAGTGGGCCCACACAGCTGCTTAAAAATAGCAGCTCCTGTTGTTGGGGAGTCCTTCGCTCCCCGCTGCGTCCCAACGCCGCTCGCAGTCACTTCTCATTACTGACGCGTCTCTGACCTAATTCCTGCTCCAGCCTAAAGAGCTCAAGGCTTATGTCTCCCTTTCCTTGCAGGGCCGAGGTTGTGCTGGGAAACATCATCAAAAAGAAGGGCTGGAGGTAGGTCTCACCCCCAAGGTCCGGCATCCCACACTGCTTTACTTTTAGGCAGCAGATTTCCTTGGTGATTGTGATGCTCGTGGGCTGGGAGGAGCGGGGAGGAAGAGCCCTCAGGGCGCAGGGCTCACGCATTGACCAAGCACTGGCACAGCTGCCCGGGGGAGTGGTGGAATCCCCAACCCCAGAGGTGTTCAGTGCAGAGAGGTGGCACTTGGGGATGTGGTCAGTGGGCACAGTGGGATGGGTTGGGGTTGGACTTGGTGGTCATAGAGGCCTTTTCCAACCTTAATGATCCTGCGAGTGGGTATGGTGGTGATAGGTTGATGGCTGGTCTCAGAGGTCTTTTCCATCTTTAATTACCCTACTGTTCTATGACTCTGCCCTTCTCCCTGCAGGCGATCCAGCCTGGTCATCACCACCAAGATCTTCTGGGGAGGAAAGTAGGTAGCAGCCGCCCTGCCCCGCAGTGCTGCGGCCGGCAGTGGGCTCCGACTGCCCCTTCTCTTCTTTCAGAGCAGAGACGGAGCGGGGACTGTCCCGAAAGCACATCATTGAAGGTATGGCTGCAGGGTGCGGGGTGCGGGGCGGAGCGCGGGCTGCCCCTGACTGTGCTGCACGGCTGCAGGTCTGAAGGCATCGCTGGAGCGGCTGCAGCTGGACTACGTGGACGTGGTGTTTGCCAACCGGCCCGACCCCAACACACCCATGGAAGGTGGGTGCTGCGGTGCGGCCGTGCCGAGGTGTCCAACCCACGGCTCCGGGGCCATGTCCCTTCTTTCCCTGTTTTCTGCATGCTGTGTGCCGTATTCCATTGCCATCTGTGGGTTGTAACCATGCTTCTTGTGGCAGGCTTTCCTTTGAAAGTGTTTTTCCCATGACAGAGCGTAACCCCTTCAGTTAAAGCTCTCTGAGCATCCATCCCTCACCCCGTGCCAGGAGCGCGGCCGGGGGCTGCCGTGGTGCTGGGGGAGCGCGGCCCCATCCCCCGCTGTGCCCTTCGCTGTGACACCGGCGGCTGTAACCTCTGGTCTCTCTACATCTTTCTTTTATCACCAGGGCACCCATTTAGTTCTTCCAAGTCGAGAACATTCATCATAGAAGGTACATCGTACCCGCAGTCTGAACCCCAGTGGCATTTTATGAGACAGAACCCGCATTTTTCATTAATTTTGATTCCTTCCCCCCTCAATAACCCTCTCCATAAAATGCGCGAAGGAAAACAGCAGCAACAGCCAAACCAAAAAACCCCCCCCATCCCCAGTACATCTTGCAAGTGAAGGAACAAAGCCGACAGCTGTGCTCCCGTCCCATCCGCTCCCCTCCCCTGCATGGCTCCGGCATTGCGCTTCTGGCGCTGCTTTGGCACCGGGGAGTGCTCAGCACCAGGGTGAAGCCATCAGTCCTTGCTGCACACAGCTCTTCCTGCTGTCAGTCCGTCCTCACACAGGGCACCCTGAGGGCACCGTGTAGCCCAGCACCCAGCTGTACCCCTGTGCCACTCGCAGCATCCCCCACTGGCGTGCAGGACTGGGCATTCTCCATGCAGTCCCCTCCTGCCCCACGCCGAGCTGCCAGGTCTGGCTGCTGAAGCCTTTGGTTGACACAAAGCTCGTCCTCGGTTGAGCTGTCGCTGCACATGCTGGTGTTGTTAAACCAAACTTCAGCCATGTTCTCCTTCCTGCTTCCTTCACTTGGCATGGCATCTTGGCTTGCAACCCAGCCCGCATGGTTCAAAGCAGCCTGCTGCCAGCCGAAGTTGTGGCAGCCCCAACCCCTTCCTCCCAGCATCACTCTGGGATGGAGCAATGAATCCCTCAGCTCCGCATTTCCTACGGCCCTGAGCAAAAGTGGGCACAGCAGTTGTGCTTCCAGCCGGTTGGTACCTGAGGGTGTGGGAACATCCACCTGCTTCCCTCCTCCTGCAGCATCTGCAAGCACTGTATGCCAGCGCAGCCCTGAGGATGCCCATTCCCACAGGCCATGGCACAGCCCAGAATGGGCTACAGCTGCAGAGTGCTGGTTTTGGGGAGGGTGCTCTCTTTTGTACATCCTTAAGCCCTGTTTTAACTAATTTCTGTGGTGGAGCACTTTGGGATGAACTGGAGGCAGCTCCAGCCCCATTACCTGGGAGCAACTCTACATCCCCAATGCATCCCTTCCTCAGTACCTGTCCTGACTGTCACCCCTCCCAGAGGACCATACATCGCCTTTTTGTCCCTCCCTCTTCATCTCAGCACACCGACCTCTGCCCGCTTCCATGTGATGCTCTCCGTGTGGTTTGACCTGGATCTGTTTTCAGTAGATCTGGAAACGCGCTAATTGCGGAGAAGCAATTTCCACGCAGTCTCTCTCTCTCTCGGGTCGATTTCCATTCCCTTTTGTTTTAATTTCCACACCCAACTCCTGCCTGTTTGGCGTTTGGATGTACACTGCTTGCAAGATGTGCATGGCCCAGCCCCATCCCTGTGCCCTAACGCCCGCCTGCTGCTCTCCCTTCCTCCGGCAGAGACGGTGCGCGCCATGACCCACGTCATCAACCAGGGGATGGCCATGTACTGGGGCACGTCACGCTGGAGCTCCATGGAGATCATGGTAGGAGCCACGTCGCCAGGGGTCCCAGAGCCCAAATCCCTGCCCCATGGCGATGGGGCCGGCGTGCGCTGACGTTGCCAATCCGGGTTGCAGGAGGCGTACTCAGTGGCACGGCAGTTCAACCTGATCCCGCCGATCTGCGAGCAGGCTGAGTACCACATGTTCCAGCGGGAGAAGGTGGAGGTGCAGCTGCCTGAGCTCTTTCACAAGATAGGTATCCATTTCACGTGGGTTCTTCTCCCAAGGGCTGCAACCATTGCTCCTCCATCTCCGTCCCCTCCCGTGTGCCCCAGCCACCTCCACTCCTGCTTATCTCATCCCGGCTCTCCAGGCTGGTTTCCCTGCTACCCCTCCTACCCTCCAGGTTGACCCCTGCACCCAAGTGCTGCCCAACCCCAGGCCGAAGGCAGCCTGCGAGGTGCCCAGGTCACTCTCTGCTCTGCTTTGCTTGCCCCAGGTGTCGGTGCCATGACCTGGTCACCGCTGGCGTGCGGCATCGTCTCAGGGAAGTATGACGGTGGCATTCCTCCGTACTCAAGAGCATCACTGAAGGTGAGCGCCATAGGGAGATGCAGTAGTGCAGGGGTCTCAGGGCTCCTTGGAGCCCCTCACTCACCTCTCTCCCACCCCAGGGGTACCAGTGGCTGAAGGACAAGATCCTGAGCGAGGAGGGCCGGCGGCAGCAGGCTAAGCTGAAGGAGCTGCAAGCCATCGCCGAGCGCCTGGGCTGCACGCTGCCACAGCTCGCTATTGGTAAGGGGTTGGGGGGTGGGGGGGGGCAGCGGCTGGGCCCTGCTCAGCTCTGCACTCTGTATCCCCAGCATGGTGCCTGCGCAACGAGGGCGTCAGCTCCGTGCTGCTGGGAGCCTCCAACGCCGACCAGCTGATGGAGAACATCGGAGCCATACAGGTGAGATGTGCAGCAGCACAGCCATGCAGCACTGCCACGCGTTGCAGATGAGTTGAAACCGCTGTGTGGCGATGCTGAGCACTGGGCACAGAGTGGGACGCGGGGCCACCGCACAGCTGTGACTGCGCTCCCGTGCAGGTCCTTCCCAAGCTGTCGTCTTCCATTGTCCATGAGATCGACAGCATCCTGGGCAACAAACCCTACAGCAAGAAGGACTACCGCTCCTAGGCGCGCCCGGCACGCCGCCCCGCTGCCCGATCGCTTGCTTATGCTTGGATGAAGCAAAGTGGAGAGCGCGGCCCGCATCAAGAACAGCACGCCAAGAGTGTAGAGAAACCGTTCCAAACGTCGCTGCAAGAGAACATAACGCTTACTACATAACATTTAATTTGAATGCAAGAAAGCCACCGCCGGGGAGAGTGCTGGGGCAGTGCACACCCCACGCCTGGACTCGAAGCCGCAGGGCACGCGGCCAGGCTCTGTGCTGTGCTGCTGGGGGCTGTCCTGGCACCGTGCGGAGGACTCAGCCGGTGGGGGCCATCCTGGGCGGCGGCTGCAGCCGTTGCATGCGTCTCCCTGCTGCTTCTCTTCTTTACTTTGTGTTTCCGGACAAGGAGGCCGTCGGGTGCAGGTGTGCTCAGAGCACCACGGAAGCATTGCGTGGGCAGGGCTGGATGCTGGCCCGGATCAGCGCTGTAAGAGGCTGCTGTGCAACACCAACAACAAAACCACCACCACCTCTCCTTCCAGCACTCTGCTCTGCAGCCCCAGCACAGTGCATCTGTGCCCTTGCCTGGGATGGGCGTGAGGGAGGAGAAGATGGGTGGGCAACAGGAACCCTGGGAGGGGGGACTCCACACAGCCCATCCCCAGGCAGCACCTGTTGTCCCTTCCCCTGCGCAGGGGAAACAACAAACACTGCTGCATGGAGGTGGGGAGGTAGAGCAGTGAATGTGTGTGTGCGCACAGGGATGGAGAAGGGAGCGCTGCAATTTTTATATATCTGCACAAACCATGCAGAAATACACATAAGCAGGTATATAGAATTGTATATCTACGTGCATCTGTAGGCAATTTACAGATGTGTCACTGTGTATACATGCACACACTGCAAGCACACATACATACCTGTATACACAGAGATAGCTGTGCGCCCACCCACGTGCGGGATGGCACCGAGCACCACTTCACCTGGTGCCACTGCCCAGGGCCGTGGGCTCGAAGGAGGGGCAGCAGGGGGAGTCCAGGCAGGGGCTGGCTCCTCCCCAAGCACTGTGCTCACTTCCCACCCTGATCCCAGGGGTGGAAGAGCAGAGCTCCCCTCATTGCCAGCACAATAATGACGCTGCTCCCACCTCCTTTTTACAGGATTTATTAAAACACAGAGAACATGAACCAAAACACACAGAGTACAAAGTAAATGTGAGTGTGTTGGTTACAGGTGCCATAAACCTCCTACGAAAGGTCACCACGGTGCAGTCAGTATCACAAAATAGCAGCCCACCAGGCACAAAGGCAGCAGTGCGGCCACCCTCTGCTCTGCTGCAGCAGCCCCCACAACCCCCCCAGCTCCAGGCAGCTTGCGGCCACAGAGAGGACAGGAAGGAAGAAGCAGGGGGAGTGCAGGGCGGCCGGCACGGCACAGCACAGCCCTGCCCAACCGTGCTCTCCCTCCTGCAGCATGGCGAGGGCAGGTTGCAGGCAGAGGGACCACAAGGCAGGGCTCACTGCAGCCCAGGGATGGGCTGGGAGTGGTGGCAGCTGACTCCTCTCCTCCTCCTCCTCCTCCTCTCTGCTCTCTGTGCTGCAGCAGGGCGGCGGTGGGCATGCGCTTGCTCAAACACAAAAAGGACATAAAAATAGAACTTACAGGGAAGCTACCGAACAGGAGTAAGCTTGGCGCCTAATGGTCAGCGTGGAACTGGACTAGAAACAGAGCTTCCAACAGGTCTCCCTTTAACTCTGATACATGTCAATAAAAACAGACATAAATACTGTTATTCTGTATCCCTTCTTAACTCATCCCACACTTCCAGACAAACTCTTCAAGTCTTCAATAAGAAAGTGCAAAAAATGTACAAGGAAATGAAATCCCCTTCAGAGAAGTTCTGGCGATGGTCGGGGTCACATCGGTTGAAGCACATGTGGGGATGAGGGGCGGGGGCTGCATCCCCCTCTGCCCGCTGCATCCCCATCCCTTGGTGACCCTGCGGCTTCTTCTCGGGGCTGCAGAGTGGCCCAGGGGCTGCTGAGGGGACAGACAGGGACTCACGGTCTGCCAGCACACGGCAGCTCAGAGGATGGTCACAGGCGTAGCCTTACCTCGGGTGGGAATGGGAACAGCAGAAGAAAATCTTGGAAAGGGCTAAATATCTGTTGGTAAGAGAGAAAACAGCTGCTCACCGCCATCCTTGCTTTGCACTACGATCTGTCACTTCAATTTCCCTGCTTGTGCCCGTCAAAAGTTTCAACCTACCTGTCACATAGGGTCCCAGAGGCATCTGACTGTAGTTGACAATCCCACCTGGCCCAGGACCTCGGAAATTCGGTCCAAAGCTGTTGTTGTAGATCTGGGAGGAACCAAAGGAGCCCTGAAGAAATGAGAAAGGAAGCTGGAACACAGGGCAGGCAGTGCAGAGCTGGGGCAGGGGACACGGGGCACCCCAGGGCAGCTCTGCACTCCTCCATCCCACGCACCTGCTGCACCGGGGGCTCCCCGCCACGCGTGGTGAGGCGGCTGAGGATGCTGCGCTCCGACATCTGCAGCCGTGCAGCCACAGGAGGGATGCGGGACAGCATGGAGGGCAAGCGTGTCACATCAGCCTTCATGTCACTCAGCAGCTCCTCGAGCTGGTTCAGCACTGCAATGCACAGCCAGAACTGCTGACCCTAAAGCGTGGCCCCATGGCACCTCTGTGCCCACTGTGCTCTGTCCCCATCAGCCCGGCACCTCGTGACCCAACTGAACATCAGCTCCTCCTCCCAGCAGTCCCCAAGGCTGGACTGCCCAGTGGTCTCACTCAGCACAGCCAACCCTTCCCTGCCCTCTGCCCACACGTACCCTTGTGCAGGACGGCATTGGCAGGCTTGTTCCCAGCAAGGGACTCTTTGGAGAGATGCTGGTGGCTTTCAGCAAGGCACTCCACTTCAGCCAGACGGGCGTTCAATGCCATGGCCGGGTGATTGGGGTCTTGAGTCATGTTGAGGTACGCCGCCCGCCGCAGCTGCTCCTCTATCACCAGGGCCTGCTCCAGCAGCTGGGAGGCACAGGAGAGCAATGGATCAGGACCAGACCCTGTGCCCATGCGAGCCAGTGCCACCCACGTGTCCGCCATCTGCCCCATCCACCTCAACCCCACAATTCCTGGGTTTGTATCATCCCAGTGCAGCCCAATCACACACTAAGTACCCCAGAAAGAGATTTGGGCAGCAATTCCACAGCACCGCCCCATCCATGTGCCACATTCTGGAGCTAGCAAGTGCTCCTGCTCCTCCAGCCCTGCCCCTCAGGGCACTGCCTCACTGCCACTGATGTCTCACAAACATCTGCCGCCTTCTGCTCCACTCCACCTCGCTGTGGGGCTCTGCTCTGTGCCACCACTAAGGACTCACCAGCCCTGGACCTGCAACTCGCCTTGAAGCGCCGGGCGAGGAACTTGTTCTTCATCTCAAGGTAGTTCCCTTTGTGTATCTCCGACTTGAAGGGCTCGTTCAGGATCACGTAACGTGGGTCGTTCTGGATGTCCTGCCAGCGGGCATAGCCGTGGCTGCCGCAGGGGAGCGTCAAGGCAAGAACCAGCCAGCAGGCAGCATTTCTCAGCAACACATCCCCAGTCCCCTTCCCCGCTCCATCACCTCCCTCCTCACCCCCCACACAGCACAGCCTCCTCCGCCTGGCACGGGGAAGCCATCGCCCACAACACCAAAGGGTACGTGACAATGCCTGCCAGCAGCCAGTAGTCGTGTCTGCGGTGCCAGATGTCATAGATCTTGCTGGAGGAGATGGCAGCTCTTTCCTCATTCTGCCACAGCGTGTGCAGCTCTGCAGAAACAAAAGAGAGACAGCCTGGTCAGCCAGCAGGGCTGCTGGGCACAGCATGCAGGGCGAGAGAGGAGATGGCCCAGGGAGCCACGGAACAGTGCTCAGCACAGGGCTTTATGTAAAAGCTCTGCAAGAGTAACAACGGCTCATTTCCGTTTTTACCTGTAAAGCCTCCATCAGCAATGTTGAACATGAATCTAAAGTTCACATTTCTGTCATCCTTCTTTCCATCCTCCTCTTCTTTGTCACCATTTTGCTGAGTCTCACTTTGCTCCTTCTCTTCCACCTTGGTATCCTCTGCTGGGCAAACACGGGAAATTACACCTGCCCAAACTTATTCAGCCATCAGACCAACTGCTGCTACCACTGCCCTCGCAACTGCAAGGGGAAGCCCCCACTAAAATCACTGCTAGAGAAGCCACCAGCCCACCTCCTGCCACACAGCTGCTGGCCATCTGCCACCTCCAGCAGCTCCTGACGTTTTCACAGCAAGCAGAGGCAGTGCCCATTGTAATGAGGTCCTACAGAGGCTCCTGAGCACCACAGAGCACAGTGCCCACTGCAAGTGCTGACTGCAGGCCCCGTGCCACCCCACAGACACCTGCCTTGAGTTAGAGACCCTGCCCAGCAGGGCACTTCGCACCACTTCTCTTTCCAAAGCCTCCTGGCACCTTACCTGGCTTGATTTCTTTGTCCTCCCCTTTACCAGGGCTGCTGTTTGACTCTGGCTTTTCCAAAGCCTTCTCTTTTTCTTGAACTCCCTCATCTGCAGAAGGGAACAGGACTCTGAGAGAAGCATAACATGTAAAATGCTCTTCAGGAAATAACATATCTGGATAGATTGTAATTTTCAGGGTAAAGCAACTGTATTGTGTACAAGCATTTCTCACAACTTACTTTTGATTTGTTTTAACTTGTAGATTATACTAAACTAATGCTTTAACATTACAGTGTAGATTACATCTGTGACAGCATTGTATCATTATCCAAACAGCAATCTGGAAGTTCAACAGGAAGTCTTTCCTTAGGAATTTCTACTGGATATTGTGACATTCAGGTTTTCCACTGTGATTTGGAGAAGAGAAGCCAGCAGCAAGTGCCAGAATTTCCCAACAGAGAGTATCTGCCTGTCAGGCGCACTGAGCACCTGGGGCTGTTGCAGTGCTCTGTGTCTATGCACCTTGAGCTGAAGAAATTCCCCAGCACACATCAATGTCACTGTAACTGTCAGAGCCCTCACAGACGTCCCAAATGCTGCTCAGAACGGAGCCCGCTTTCTTCTGAGCCACAGAGACTCACCTTTCCCCAGGGGCTCAGGAGAAGGCTCAGCTTTTTCACTCTCGTCTTGTTTCTCTTCCTTCAGTTTCTCCTTGCTTTCACAGTTTTCTTGGTACTCCTCACTTTCCACTTTCTCAGAGCTTCCAGGCACCTTAATGTGAAGCACCCACACTGAATTAGCCCAGCAGCCAGAGGGATGTGGTTTGCTTGCAGAGGAATGCTGCAGTATCTCCCAGGAAACACCATTACCGCAGCTCTGCAGCCTGCAGGGCAGCACTGTGGGCACAGGATCATGACCCCTACCTGGCTGTCAGATGCTCTCCCGGACTTCTGTTCCACTTGGTCCTTTTCCTCCTGGAATCCAAGTGGTGGATCTGTTTTTTCTGTAACAACAGCAAAGCAAGGAAGCTATAGACAGGAATCCCATTGTGCCAAGGGCACAGTGCCAGGCAGATACCTGCAAAACCTTCTGGTGTCCTGTTCCACCTCCCTTCCTATGGTAAACCAAAGCCACAACCAGGCCACTGTGCATTTACCTGCAAGGGCAAGAGGTCCTGCATGTATGTGCGCCGGGCTGGCTGGGACAGGGGTGTTGGGATCTGAAGAAACCATCTCATTGCACTTCTTGCTCTCCGGGCCCTCCAGAATCATATCTGGGGTGCTATACTTCCCATTGACATGCTCAAACTCCTGCACCTGGAGCAGACACATGACAGCAAGTCAAACACGGCGGCCAGCAGCAGAGCAGCAGCAGGCCAGCCCCATCCAGGGGTGTTCCTACACCCACCACCCCAGGTGTCACACTTTGCTGGGCAGCAGGTGCCACTGCCCATGCCGTGCTGCTGTGCAGGCTCCCAGCCTCAGCAGCACCTCCAGCAGCAGTCCTGCTCTGCCCACGGCAGCAGACACCACAATCACACAGGAAGCCTCCCATGCCCCAGCAGGTCCACCGCTGCCGTGCTGGTTTTGCAGACGTAAGGGAGAGGTACTGAGTTAGTAGAGTGACAGAAGGGCAGCATGCGAGTGACCGTGCTGGTGCCCACGTGAAGCCTTGGCAGGCATGCAAGGTGAGCTGTACCCTGGGGGTGCTCATGCAGTGAGTTCCCTGGCCCTGAGGGCTTCATGCCTCCATCAGAATGCTCTTTGCTTCCTCTCCCCTTAAACCCAAGCGCTGGGGCCTCTCTGCTCTCTTTCACAGAGCCTCCATTGCGCACCCCATTCCCTAGGCTGCAATTTCTCACTCTCTCTACGCAGCAGAGTAACAGTCAGTGCTCAAGACATAGCAAAATCAGGTGCCATCACTCTCAGCATCTGCCCTTTCCCACTGCCACACTGGAACCACTGCTACAATCATCTAATGGTCTTCCTGGGACAACTCGGAGTGCCACACTTGTCAGTACATGGATTATGAGGAGAGGATCTCCCTGCAAGACAGCTGAGGATTCTTCCATCACCCCTAACTGGGGCCCAGCACATGCCTGGGATTAGCAACACAATCAATAATTATTCAGTCCCAAATCAAGCCCAAGCGTCTCTCTGAAAGACATGCTTTGGTTCAACAAGATGCTGGGCACAATGCAAGACTCAGTGAAGTCTCTGGCCTGTACAGTACAGGAGTTCTGAGTAGGTTACCGTAATAGTCCCATCTGAAATGAAAAGAACTATAAATCCA